ATATGAGTGCCAATCAATACACTGTCCTCTTTGTAAGTTATATAGACGCTCTATACTGACAAGGCTCTCTGTGCTGTTGAAAGTGGAAACATTCTCTCCCCGGCCTAATTGTGCTCATCACTATACGGAAGTGAATTCTCTAGTCGCTCTTCTAACACAAAATAACACTGCTAGTGAATAGCTATGATTACAGGACAAAGAATGAAATGCGTTCGAGGCATTTATTGTAAATGGCAGCCATGGCCGAAACATGCATTGAGAACTTTTTACAGCAGACAATATCTGGATAGCAGGAAGGTGAGTAGTAATACCAAGAAAGAGAAGATAAATGTGTGTAGGTGTAAACCTGTCAAACAGATGAAACAAATTCATTCACCAAACGTTAGCGAGACAGCGCATAGACAAAATATATAGTGTAGCACAAATACTGTGGCTGACAATACTCGGTAATCAAGTGAGGACAACAACAGAAGAGGAAGAAAGTGCGATTGAAGACAATAAAAATCAGAAAGATGCAATTAAAACACGATTATATAATATCTGTCACCTCTAAATGCAGCATTTGCACTCAATCTCACCTTCGTAGCACTTCAAAGCTGTATAAAAAAATCAGTAAACTAATGACAAAAATTGTATCTGTTAAGTAACCATATGTGCGTAGATCTCCAACTCATTGCGCAGCCTCATCGCACGACCATTCTTACAACTGGAAGTCATTGTTCAGGTTTATATCTGACATACCAGAACATGTAATGATGCTTCGTTCGCATGTATCTTAGCGAGGGGGGGTCTATGTGTCAGGCGGCCCTGGAGTACTTGGGCTGTAAAGAAAATATACAAACAAACACAAAAGATTCTTACAAACAGTATTATATTACTATATAGTACATAATAAAATCAATGTTTGTGTGCGTCAGCAAGACCTGGTTCGAATCCGCTAGTAGTAAATTTTTTCTTATCACCCGCAGGACTAAGAATAGACTATCCTCATCTGACCTCTGTCGTGGTGACTAGCACTAGCCATGTTGCCATTTTAATATTTTAAAAAAAAAAAACACAACAATGTAAATTGGGTAAGACCTATTTGATAATTAATTTAGACCTATTGCATACTTATGATGTGCATTGTTAAACATTTCGATTGCTATGGTTACGCTGAAAATTTAGTAGATTTTCATTTAATTTTTCATTAGATGTGTCTAGTTTATTATCCAGCTGGTGTTGGAGAATTTTAGCTGTGCGGTTTTACAATGAGCATTTCTTTTCCTAATTATGGTGTTTTTTTCCTGTGTTATTTTGGCTGTATCAAGTGTGTGTGTTTTTTTCTCCCACTACTTACAATGATTGAAGCCAAGTTGTCGGTGAATTTGTGGGATAGGGGCTGGCTAACTATTAACTGAGAGAGCTTTTGAGTTCAGAGTAACTGCTTTCACCCACTTAAATGTAGCAGCAGGCAGTAAACGTGGCCGACTAAGATATGTGGTGGGCCTAGTACAACCATAGTGCTCTCATTGTGGAAGACCGCCTGCGTAAGGTTATGGCTTTTCTTCTGTCGGCTAAGTGTGAAATTTATATAATCCTAACCTGACCATTCTGTGCAGCACAAAGCACTAGCCTATGCGGAACCAAATCTTCTGGCTCCACGACTCATCTGTCTACTCCGATGGTACACAGTATAGCTTAGTGACAATTATTCGTAGTAGTTGTACTGGTATCTTGAAGGATGATGTGGTAAATGTTTCACTAAGCCCTATTCACATACTTTTACAATTCCTGCTCCTTATTTTAGATCCTAGATGGACAGGATGTGACATGTCAGTTACAGCAACAACAAATATCGCCAGTTAGTGATTTTCAAATCCATTCGAAGAGGGATTGAGACTGCGCAGTAGTGCGGTGGAAGAGGGGACGGGAGAGGGGTAATGACTTAAATTGTAAGAGAAACTTATAAGAGCTCTTTTACACGTGATTTGTCATAGTTCATCATTACCTAATTTGTCTTATATTGCTTAACTAACGCTACCTCCGCTTTTCCTATTTTGTACGACTTACTTTGTCTATTTACAAGTACAGTTGTTTAGCTGTACTTCCTTCTCCTATATAAGATACAAACAGCTTTAGCATGTGAATAATCACAAATAACCATGCTTTTGTTACCGGGTGCTAATAACACCATTTAATACAACCACTAATATAAAGACCCAATTATATGGTGCCTGTACTAAAGTTGGAACCAGACTATCTATCTATCTAAATATATGATCATATATTATACAAAAATCAATGTTTGTGGTGTTTTTGTTTGTCCCTATAGACTCGGAAACTACTGAACCGATTATAGCTGAAATTTTCAGGATATGTTTGTTTTTGATACCGGATTTTGAACCATCGTGGTTTGAAATTCAAACCTGTCACTGTTAGAGATAGGTGACCACAATTTATGCATAAATATTCGCAACTAATATTTATAACTTTAGTGATTTCTAATTATAGCCCAGTTAGTAATTGCGCGCATGCGCCGCCGTAGTCAGAACGCAAGGGCTTCCGCCATTCGCCGGCGAGTTACGTGCAGCCAACGCCTTAATACATAGAGTTGGTCAAGGTACCGCAAACAATACTATCTCTATATTGCCACAATAAACCATATTAAACCGATTTCTATTTTCTGGTTTTTTTTTTCCAAACTTACGTGGAACCTTCGGGGGGGGCGGGGGGGGGTGGGGGGGGGGGGCAATCAAGGACTATCTCGACGTCGGCGCAGGGACATTTGACTGCGTCATTAACTTCATTAGACAGGTGCGATTTCCATTGTCTTTCTTTTCTAAAAACCTTTGATGAGGGAGAGGGTACTAGGTGGATTTAGTTGTGGGGGGGGGGGGGATCAAAGATTATCTCAAATTACGCCACAGCAACGCGTGGCCGGGTACAGCTAGTATCATTATATAATTCTTGTATAAACAAATGTAAAGAATGAGAAATTTATAAAATATATGTTTATATTCACACATATAGTAGAATAATGCAAATAATAAGTAAAACTGTAATCCACTATGAATGGCAATGAAAAAGGGCTAGGATTGCATGAAGACTGTATGCAGATTGTTCATCTAACAGTAGCAGATACTATGAAACAATAGAAACTTTATGCAGATTGTTCATCTAACAGTAGCAGATACTATGAAACAATAGAAACTTTATGCAGATTGTTTATCTAAAAGTAGCAGATACTATGAAACAATAGAAACTTTATGCAGATTGTTCATCTAACAGTGGGAGACACTATGACACAATGGAAACTACATACAGATTGTTCATCTAGCAGTGGCAAAGACTATGAAAGAACTGAAACTATGCAGACTGTTTGTTTATCTAATAGTAAAAGACTCTGAAATAATGAAAACTATATACAGTGGGAAAGACTATAAAAGAATGAAAACTCTATGCAGATTATTCATCACAGAGTGGGAGAGATTAGGAAAGAATAGAAACTATGTACAGATTGGGATAAACTATGAAAGACTGGAAACCATATGATTGTTCATCTACCAGTGGGACAAACTATGAAAGAATGGAAACCATATATAGACTGTTTATCTAACAGTGGGATAAAATATGAAAGAATGGAAACCATATACAGATTGTTCATCTAACAAAGGGACAAACTATGAAAGACGGGAAACCGTATACAGATTGTTCATTTAACAAAGGGACAAACTATGAAAGACGGGAAACCGTATACAGATTGTTAATCTAACAGTGGTAGAGAATGATGGAATGGGAACAGACTGTTGCAAATCTATGCCTTACTTACATCATGTTTCTTGTACCAGTTCACAGCATTAATGAGAACCTCAGATGCAGACTCCTTGTCTTCTTGGCTCAAGTACAGCGCAACCAGAGTGGATACCTAGAGATGACATGTGTAAGTATAACATGGCCCTACAATAAAACAATAGATAACAAGAGATACACATGTAAGTATAACATGGCTCCACAATGAAACAAGAATGAATAACAGATACACATGTAAGTATAACATGGCCTACAATAAAACAATAGATAACAAGAGATACACATGTAAGTATAACATAGCTCTAAACAATGGATAACAAGAGATACACATGTAAGTATAACATGGCTCTACAAGGAAATAACAATGGATAACAAGAAATGCACATGTAGTACAACATGGTCTACAATGAAACAACAATGGATAACAAGAGATACACACGTAAGTATAACATGGCTCTACAATGAAACAACAATGGATAACAAGAGATACACATGTAAGTATAACATGGCTCTACAATGAAACAACAATGGATAACAAGAGTTACACATGCAAGTATAACATGGCTCTCTACAATGAAACAATAATGGATAACTAGAGATATACATGTAAGTAAAACATGGCTCTACAATGAAACAAGAAAGGAAAAGCAGAGAATAACTAGAGATACATATCAAGTAAACAAAGGTCTAGAATGCAGTGAGTGAATATATATATATCTTCTTCTTCTTCACGTTCACCTTCTGTAAACACTGGTGGAAAGTACAGGTTGTTCAGTGACTTCTGGACTTTGGTCTTCTTCCAGAACTTGAATCCATTTTATAGTCGGGTGTTCACGGTGTGGAGCTGAGAATTGATATTACAACACTCAGGACATTCCTATAAGTGTTGCCTCCCTATCTTCATCAGCGAGCAGAGAGTCCTAATTCTGATGGTACCAGTAACAGTCTGATTGTAGGTCCATCTCTCTCCTACCCCAAGTGCTGATCTCTGGCCAGATCCCCTGGTTACTGCTCGCTGCATCATTCTCTTCCAACCATGATGACCTATTTGAGCTTCAGCACTGTTTACTTGCTCCATCTAGCTTGTCACGTATCAATTCAGCGACCAAGTGGTAAAGGACTAGACAATCTATCTGCCTGTTCATATTTCAAATACACCGTGCTGTGGAGAAAATATCCAAAGTATGCCAACTAGTGGGACCTTTGAAGCAATGCTTGCCACTCTGCACAGAGCATACCTTTCTCACCATGCTCTGTGAGACAGTTACGATATGTGTGTGCACCTGGTTCTCAAGCCAGTGGAAGGCTTCAGTGACTGCCTCCACCTCCATTCTCAAACTAGATGTATTAAATGCCAGGCTTTGTTGTACAAAGCGATGTGCAATCATTTTTGCTATGAACCCCCTTGCACTTTGTCTACCTCACAACACAGAGCCATCTGTATAGACAATCACATTGCATTGGTGGGAATTGTCATGAATCATTTGCTGAACTTCCGATTTTGATTCTCAAAACTGGGACCCCCAAAAAATGAAGATCAAATTATACAAATATTTGAAAAGAGCACAAAGAAGACCTTGACAACATTCTGATGAAGTAACAAGAGTAGAGAGCATTAAGAAAAAGTGAAGGAAGAAGTGGGGGGGAAAAAAGAAGAAGGAGATGAAGAAGAAGCAGAGGAAGAAAAAGAATAAGAAGCAGAGGCGGAGGAAGAGGAAGAAGAACGCAAATATCTATTTCAAATCACTGATGCAGGAAGGATGCAACTTCTCAAAACTGTGAATAAGAACATCAAGTATAATAGTTTCAGCTCACATACAAATCAACTCACAATGCCAGGCTTGTAGGCCAGGTCTCCGAGGGCTTTCAAAGCATCACAGGCCAGATACACACTGCCCTGGTTCAGGTACAGTTGTGATATAATCAACTGAGCTTTGAAGGCTTCCGATGGATGTATCTTCACATACTCCTGGATGTGACAGAAAACAAGCAATTAAGATAAATTAGGATTTCAGGATGTACTGCCGTATGGAGCTGATTCAAATAAAATAGTTATTAATAAATTACAAACATTCTTTAACTGGTGCCTGAGCAGAATAAAGGGAATCACATGGCACAATATCCTTGTGTAGGTTCTGGGACCCCTGTCACATATCACTCCTGTCACGTGCCTGATTTAAGGATTTCTCCTTAAGAACCAACAGCACTCTGAAATAATAATGTTGAGTCGTTGGCTCGTATGGGTCTAAGGGAGATCCTGTGGCCAATATACGCTCAACTTATTTCAGGAGTAGGGCAACTCAAGCTTTGGCACTACAAAATAAATAATATTCATAGGCACACTTGGCTGGACACCCCCACTACTATAAAAAGGTAGCCCCCAGGTTATGATAGTATACTATCATAGCCATGTTAACACAGATTACACCCAATACTCACACAAACATAAAAGCTGGACAGTTAGAATGGTGAAACAGGGACACCCAAGTCAGCCATGAAAATTTTTGCATGTAATAAGTACAATATAAATTTAAAAAAAATGAATTGATAATCAAGAGTGATCAGTTAATGGAGTTCAGGAATTAATGACACAACCCAGATATTGAAGCAGCCAGATGTTCTTTGAGTATACATGAGTTCATCATTGGAATCACGAGGAGCTGTGGGAAGAGAGCATGATTGTAATTAATAGATCATTTATCCCAGTTCGTAGGTCCCTGCTCTTCCTCAGTCCATGGTGATTTGACTGTGGATGAATGACTCAATAGGTAGCTATGCCTCGATTTGATCTGGTACAGGTTGACTGTCTCATAGGTGATGACACAAGGACTGCATAAGAGCCCAACAAAGCTCTTGAAGACTGTGGTGCCCGCTGACTGTCTCACTGGTCCGGACACAAGAACTGCATAAGAGCCTAACAAAGCTCTTGAAGACTGTGTCTCTGGATTGATGACATGGGTGTCTGCAATTGTCCACTCGTCCTGGAACTCACAAACAAGCTCTTGCCATGTTGAGGTAGTGGCACAATGGGCTGGACTTTAGAGTATGCTTGGTGTTCAGAATGGTATGGTTTGGTGGTTGTTGGCTGGACTGTGATTCATCTGCCTGATCTCTAAGGAAGTATCATCCCAAGCTTAGGAATTCTCCCAATATAGAACTGGTACTTTGAATGCGCCAATTTTCTACATAGACTGTATACACGTCTTGACACTTAAGAATCAGGCAAGAGAATCCCCTCAAATCTAAACTTGGCGTCTCTAGGAAAGAAGTCCCCTGTATTCATGCCTAAGGAGTAAACCGGCTTACTGGAATTTCTGAATTAAACACCAGAAATCTTCAGCCCACAGTTGCAAGTTTGAAAATGAAGATTTATCAAACCAACTAGAGGGTCTAGAAATGAATATATTACCAGATAGAGGTATTTATCAATATAAGGGACTATATACCCCTCCGGACGGGTTTAAGTTTGAAATGTGACTGCCCGCTTAGGGAAGTCAGAGTCATGACTCGTCCATCGTGTAGGGTTAGCTGCTCACTTCACGACAACCCCATTGTGTGGAAAACAAGAAGAGACCACTGCCCCCCCCCCCCCCCCCCCCCCCCGCCCCTTCCCCCAAAAAGTTCGTCGTAGGAGTCGAATAACGAAGGACTTCTTTTGAAGTCAGAGTGCATCTGCCCCAGCAGCAAGAAACAACCAACTGCACACAAATAAGCCAGTCAAACGGATGCACACGCAAAACTCAGGCCCTGGCATAAAGTCAAAGTGCAAACGGACGAACAACCAGGACTTTCCGCTGGAGCTTACAGCCGGTGAACAAAAAAGAAGATAATATAATAGAATCAACAATAAGCTTTAGGAAAGAACTAAACAAACTGTTTATTTGTTAAAACTTATCTGACCAGATACAGCAATATTAAGTTGCAACAGATTAATATTGTGGAGAAGACGCTCTAGCTGCCAGTGCAACTGTCAGGAATGGGCCCTCTATAAACAGGAGAGACATGCCACGGGTGAGACTAAACGCTGTGAGGCTTGCAGTTCCGTGGACAATTTTTAACTGAATAGACTGCATACCCTGGGTGTACCAATTGGAGCAGCGAGACAGGAAAACCATGCGGGAGCCACCCGTTGTTACACCAACAAGAACAGAATGGAAGTTGATAGCCTAAAAACACTTGGAGACATACTCAGGAGGAGATTGGAGTACTTATAGTCATGTCTGATGTGTGATGAAGATAATTTAAAAAATGAACAATGAACAAAAGATTAGTATTGTGAAATTAACAGGTTTACAAAGTCTTAAAAAACTGGTGCCAGGAAATTTCCTAGAAAATAAAGGAGACCCTTTACATTTCTAACTGCTTCACTTGGCTTTCCTTTGCAGTTTCTCTATTCTACCATATCTACCAACCAACAAGCAAACAAGCCAACCGTCTGATGAACCAACCAGTCAGCGGGCCAACCATTCAATGAACTAACCCCTTAATTTTCAGTAAATCAGTATTCCTCCTCCCTGTGTAAGTTCTGGGAAACCCATTGGGGAAAGGGGGGGGGGTGTGTGTGTGTGTGCCCTCACACAGGGAAGAGGAATACTGATTTATGAAGAATTAGCCCCCCCCCCCCCCCCCCCCATAATATGAGGAAACTAATTTAGTTAGGATTTGCTGAAATCAGATATGAAGGGCTGAAAGGCACGGATAACACAGCTTAGCTCTAGATGACATGGAGACCCTAACCATGACAGGCTACAATATTTGAGCTTTCTATACTCACTGACACTTTATGTTCACCTGCAGATCAGAAGGCTGTGGGTGGGGTTCTGATGAAGCCTGACTTTTTTCAAAAATGACCCTGCCGCCCAGGTCAACACAGCTTTGAATGGGTACCAGGTAGTCCTGGGAAGTAAGGGTAGTCAGCGTGATGTTGACCGCATCACCCACCAAGTGCTGATTGATCTATAAAATACAGGTCTAGCCATATATGCGTGAAAAAGGATCGTTTACTTTTCCTTTCCCCTCCCATTGTTGGGGGGGGGGGGCGGAGGAGGCGCGGACGCATAGGTATCCTAACACTCACACTGTTAAAGTCAACTAATAAAGAGGTGGCTCCTTTGTGGTCTGAGTGCATCTGCCTGAGAGACAGAGGAACCAACAGTCTGCATTCAAATAAGCCAGATCTGTTTATCATATGTGCACACAAGACTTAAATTCTGGATCGAAACCCTGAAGTTCAAAAGTGGATTAATGACCAGAACTTTAGCTAGCAACCAGACAAAAACAAACCCAAAATGAGCAAATACTAAGCATTTTAACAGAGTGAATGAACGTTAGTTTATACACAAATAAACTCTACAAACAAAATGTTCCCAACATACCTGAAGGATTTTGAATAAAGAAGACACAAATAACAGACTGCCCTGAGCTTTGTAAGTAAAAAGTAATTATTCAGACACTTTGGCTGCCCTGGTAAAACAGGTAGTTGTGTCTTATTGTTGTGGAATGTGTACTTCGGTTATAAAGGATTCACTTATTTGCTTCATTGATGTAGTTATTACTGTAGTATGCACATGACAAGATACAGCGAAATACGCCAGGTAATAAACTGTGCAATCTGTTGTCTGTGTCTTTTTTATTCAAATTTACAACGGAGAAACATTGGTTTGATACCTGAAGGAGTTCAACAGCTTCCTCTATCTTCTTATCTCGGACAAACTGAGCAGCTCGGATCAACAAGGGTGAGTCCAGTTCAGGGTGCTGATCCATCAGTTTTTTAGCCAGCTGGTGACACTGCTCGCTCTAAACAACAACAAAAAACTTTCATAATGTATATCTATAACTGGCTAATGAAAGTAGAACATTACAACAATGAGAAAGAGACAAAGTTCTTTGGTCATGTGTTGAGAAAAGGAGCACAGGAAAATATTGTGACAACTGGGAAGATCACTCGTAGAAGAGGCAGACGCAGACCAAGAGAAATGATGGTGGATGGCTTAAGACAGTGGTATGAAGAAAAATCATCAGTGCAATTGATCTAGAACACCAAAATCTGAGTTCTGTGGAGATGCATGAACACCTACACTAGCTGGCAAAGCACTTGATGATGATAATGATGTCTATAAATAAACAATATGGCAGTCTAAACTGTTTAAATGTTAGAACCAAGCATTTTTTTTTTAGCTGTTGTAGTTTTTCTAGGCAAATTTATGTCCAGTAGTTTGCCCCTGCTTGCTGAACGGTTAGCTTTTACCACTGTCCAAACCAACGTGAGGTGCAAGGCTCCCAGCTGGGATAAAACCCGGCACCCCGCCATCACAAAGCCTGTTCGCACCACCTAAGCCACAGACACCGACTATGGGACAAGAATGTTACTAATAAAGTTTGTTCATTCTTCTATTGCTGATCTTTCCAGTTGTTATGATGTCTTTCAAAGCCTATAATCACACTCTACAACTAAAGAACTTTTGTCTCTTTACAGATGTAACAGATGATGGAAGAAGCAAAACAGAAATCAAAAAGGAATGGCTAAAACTGTCTTCAATAAGATGCACAAGTTACTGACAGGTAGAGAGATAAACAATATACTAAAATGAGAATCATCAAATGTTATGTATACTCAACGCTGTTGTATGGTGCAGAACCTTGGACAAGGAACATGCAACTAGAAAATCGAATTCAGTCTCTGGAGACGTGGGTATACAGAACAATAAGTTGTGTTTTATGGAGGCAAAAACAGTCCAATACAGAGGTTCTTGAAAGGCTACAAATGAAAAGAGAATTACTGAAAGAGATAAAAAAGAGACAATTGAAATAATTTTTGGCATATTAAAAGACATAACCCACTTTTTAAAACCATACTGGAGGGAAAGGCAAGACAGCAAGAGGTAGGCAACGATAAAAGTGGAAGGACAACATCAAGAGATGGACGGGCAGCAGTCTGAGAGTGTACAACCAGGACAAGAGACAAAGTGTGTTTGAGATCTATTGCAGCCAACCTTCACTGTGGAGATGGCACCTGATTGAACGAATGTCTCTTTACAACACTTGTGTACACTGCTTACTTCAGTTAGCATCTTCAAAGCAAGTTAACAGCAATAAATTCAATAGTAACATTTGTATAGATTCCTTTTACTGTGTAATATTAATTTAACTAGACCAAATTACTTAGTCTGTTAAGGCTACAAAGTGAAATATTCATTTTTTGTTCTACATAAGTTGTTTGGCCCTCATTTTCAGATCATACCTGGTTAGAATACATGTGCACAAGACACTGGTTGACGTTGATGTGCTTGCGCTGGTGGGAGACTGTTTTATGTTTCAGGTTGTCACCAGTCGCAGCTTTTATCTTTCTCTTTGAGTCAAAAATATTTTGATCCTGAAATAAAATACAAGTTTTGAAATTGAGTGTCATATATTTTATGAGATATGACAGTAAACAAGCATGGACAATTCAAAACTAGAATCTACAGATAAAATACTTAGAAACGATGGACAACTCTAAGCTAGCATCTACAGATAAAATACTTAGAAACAATGGACAACTCAAAGCTAGCATCTACAGATGAAATACTTAGAAACAATGGACAACTCAAAGCTAGCATCTACAGATAAAATACTTAGAAACAATGGACAACTTAAAACTAGCATCTACAGATAAAATACTTAGAAACCATGGACAATTCAAAACTAGAATCTACGGATAAAATACTTAGAAACAATGGAGATCTCAAAGCTAGCATCTATGGATACAATATTTGAGATAATGGAAAGCTCAAAGCTATAATCTATGGATGCAATACTTAGAGATAATGGATAGCTCAAAGCTAGAATCTATGAATACAATACCTAAAGGTAATGGGCAGCTCAAAGTTGGAATCTATGGATACAATACCTATAGGAGATGGATAGCTCAAAGCTAGAATCTATGGATACAATACCTAAAGGTAATGGATATCTCAAAGCTAGAATCTATGGATACAATACTTAAGAGGTAATGGATAGCTCAAAGCTAGAATCTATGGATACAATACTTAAGAGGTAATGGATATCTCAAAGCTAGAATCTATGGATACAATACTTAGAAATAATGGACAGCCAAAAGCTAGAATCTAGATAAGTTAGTTGCTTGTCCTTTACAGGACTTTGCAGAACCAACCCCAGCATGTTTTGGCTGTTGCGGTTTTTCTGGGTAAATTTACAATCATTAGTTTGTCACTGCCCCCTGACAGGTCAGCTCTCTCTACCACTGTCAAAATCAAAGCTAGAAGTCTGCTGCCAAACTGACCTCGCTTGACCTTGCTGAGAAGAGCTGAGTGCCCAGGATGCTTCTGAGAAGGAAGAAGGAGATAAACATTGTTCAGAAGAGGAGAGCCTTTCCAATAAAACTTCAGGAATTACAGGGTTCGTAACCAAATTACCAATCAATTTCAAGGCTTTCAAGGTATTCTTAGTTTCTTTTCCCAAGGTTGTGTCGGGGTAATAATGAGGCATGGGATTTTGACCTTGTTTAATGATGTACCGAGCACACACTGTACTTTATTTCTGCACACACATGTGGGTATGCCAGCACAGATATAGTGTTTTTAATATATTTTTTTCTCCAGACTTGGTGGCAGAGGGGAGCAAACTGAAGTTCTGTCTGTTCTAGACCTGGTACCTGAAATAGGGGTGGGGAGGGGGATGGAAAGAGAGAGAGAAATACAGAAAGGGAGGAAGACAGATACTGAGGTAGAGTGGGAGAGACAGTGTGAAAAACAGAGAGGGAGGAGTTGGGAAGAGGGACAGGCAGGTAGAGATGGACATGAGGAGAGGGAGAAGAAGGAAAAGAGAGACAATGGGAAGAAGGAAAAAAGATGACAAGGAGTGGGAGGGATGGAGACCCTTTCCCACTGTGAAATTCTGCAGTGTGTTTTTTTCTTTGTTTTTTTTTTTCTTCTTTTTTTTTTTCTTCTCTTTTACCTACTTGGACCTGGGTGTGGCTCACCATGTTTGACTTTTACTAAAAATCTTTCCAAAGAACTTTGCCCCTGCTCTCTCCTCAGGATGTTTCAGGAATGTGACATTGTCTTATCATTCCATATAATGTTATAACAGCTCATTTGGGCTCTGTTGTCTTATTTTAGGACAAGTAAAGAAATTTAAGTATCTAGGCAAATGGATAACATCCGATGGAAGATGTATCAGAGAGACAAAGAATAGAATAGGACAGGCCAAAACTGCATTTCCCAAAATGAATAACATTGTATGCAATAAATCCATCTCTTTGGAGGTTAGGAAAAGAATTCTCGCATGCTATATAGAGCCAGTTTTAACATACGGCTGTGAAGACTAGACAATTAATTTTTTAAAAAAAACCGGATAATTTCTTGAGGCCATGGAGATGTGGTTTTACAGAAGAACCCTTACAATTTCTTGGACAGCTAAAAAGAGTAACCCAGATGTTTTAAAAGAGGCAAATGCTCTAAGACACATTAGCACAAACACAAGAAAGAGAGACGTCATTTTTCAGTAATTTTATGAGAAGAGGGCAAATGGAACATGCTGTGACCACCGGAAAGATCTGAGGAAAAAGAGACAGAGGAAGACAGCGTGAAAAGAATCTTGATAGTCTTTTGTCAAGGCCTAGAGAGATGTCAACACACAAACTGATACACACAGTTGCAGATCGCAGATTGTGGAGAAGCATGACCACCCATGCTAGTCGACAAGGCACTTGATGATGATAGGGCAGTACTTCTCTGCAAGGTTTTTTTGACATCGATCCGTTTGGCAAACATTTTCTTAATTAATAAGATAGATAAACAATGATAGGATGTGGTGTCGTGACTCATTTAGACTCTTAAGAGTTCTAGCATGCATGTTGCATTCCAAACAAAGGCGTATGCCAAGCTAAACTGTGTCTAAACAGGATGTGTGTCAAGTTGGACATATACCAGAGCAGAGGTACATACCAATGTATCAGAGCATTTGAACAAACGAAATACAAACCAAGACTGGTTTCCAGGCACCATGGTTGGGGAAAGGGGGGGAGGGCGTCGTAACAGTCGACTAATTAACGGTTTCTTTCAAAGCTGGAGTGTATCTACCTGAGACGTAAGGAACCAACAGTCTGCACACACAAAAAACCAGATCTGTAAAATAGATGTGCATTAAAAATTTAAGTTCTGAAACAAGATCAAAGTCCAAAAGAGGAAGAACAACCTGAAATGTTTTTGCTAGATTTTACCGCTGGCAAATGAGAAAAAGAAGAAGAAAAAGAACAAAGTCACAAACCCACTTACTTTATTGATTGTCACAACATTGTTGGAAACAACAGCCACAAGCCCAACATCCGAGGGCTTGGTCTTCAGAACCTGGTTGTAGAGCTGGGCCGCCTGTTCGTTCTTGTTCTGACACTGGAAAATGTAGCCCCGCTGAACCCTGGCCACAAAATCACAATGCATAGCGCTCTTTGAATCGATCCAAGAGGAACAGTTTTTTTTAACACAGGGAAACTACTTTGATTGACAACATTTCTAGTTAGTTGCGTATCCTTTACAGGATGTTGCACAAGTAACCCCAGCCCTTTTTCTGTCTTTGTTTTTTTAAAATGTTTTTTGTGTGGTTTTCTAGGCAAATTTTCAAGTTCAGTAGTTTGCCATTGCTTTCTGAATGGTTAGCTCTTGGTACCCCTGTCGAAAAAATACAAGACAAATAGTCCGCAGCTGGGATCGAATCGGGCACCCTGGCATTACGAAGCGCATTCACAAAGCAAAAGCTTTCTAGTGACTACTGATCCATAATATACCGGGATAGCATCATTAACCAATAAGCCTCAATGTTTGACAAAGATGCTTCACTCAGGTATACTTTTACTATGACTGCATTATAAACATGAACCTTTTCCATGCCTTCAGGCATTCTGGGCATATAGGGCTAGACCAATATATTATAGACTAGTCGGCAATTGGTTGGTGATGTGATCAGCAGCACACCGACCGTCTTCCCTTCCCAGCACTTTACCTGGTACCCATTTAAAGCTGGGTCGACCTGGGAGCCAAGATTATTTTTGTTTTAGTGTTTGCTCTGTCAGGACTTGAGCCCACAACCTTCGGATCCACAGGCGAGCATCTAGCTGGTACACTGAAGCTCAATGAAGTAAAATTAAGGACCCTCCCCCCACGCCTTTCAGGTGTATTGGGTATATAGGGCTGGACCTACATTTTATAGACCAAACAGCACATGGTGGGTGATGTGGTCAGTATCATGCTGGCCGCCTTTACTTTCCAGGACTGCACCTGGTACCCACTCAAGGCTGGATCAACCTGGGAGCCAAGGGCATTTCTGAAAAAAGTCCGGCCAGGCTCCCATGATGGTTTCAGGGAAAGGTAAACACAGCAATAATCAACAGGTTATCGAAAATAAACAAGCACACAATACATTATTCTATAAAGTGGGCAATCAAAATCAATCAGGGAGCCGCCGTGGTCTAGCGGCTAGACGCGCGCCTGCCGATCGGAAGGGTCATGGGTTCAGTTCCTGACAGAAGCCAGACTTTTTTTTTCAAAAATGATCTTGGCTCTCAGGTCGATCCAGTCTTGAGTGGGTACCAAGTGCAGTCCTGGGAAGTAAAAGCGGCTGGCGTGCTGGTGACCACATCATCCATCTTGTTCCGTTAGTCTATCAAATACAGTTCTAGCCCTATATACCAATTATGCCTGAAAGGCAAGGAAAAGGGTCCGGAGTTAGTTGCATATCCTTTACAGGATGTTGCAGAAGTTGTGTCCTTTCCTTTACTTACTTTACAAAATCAGTCATCTGCATGTCTTAAAGAGGCTAACACATGCAGACAACAGACAACAAACAACAGAAAGAAGCAGTCATGTTATGGACATCCTTTACTACTTCTTATGCTTCTTAGTATTCACCAGCTGCAGCGGAAAGTTCTGGCTGCTCATCTATAGTTTGTTCAACATTTCATTTAACACACTTGCAAGCTATTTTCTCGAAAACTGCCTGTTAGAATGCAACTATACTCATGGACTTTGGTCTTGTTCCAGAACATGAGTGTTGCGTGGTGCACATCCGGTCAACATGTTTAGTTTATCGGTATACAGACTGTTGGCTTCCTGCCTCTCAGGTAGATGCAGTCCAACTCTAAAGAAAAAAGCTCCTAATTAGTCACCTTTTACAACAGGACTGTTGGGGGTGTGGGGTGGGGCAGTGAGTCTATTCTTTTTACAATTATACGACCCCACTACCTCCCTCCCTTCCCAATCAGGCACTTGAACCCCGGAAGCATGGGCGGATTAATGATTAATTTATATGTACAAAAGAGGCTAAAACACTAGAACATAAAGACAAGTTACCACAAACTACAGAAAGAGCCAGGAATCATTTTATGGTCACATCATGCGAAGAGAAAAACAACCATACTGTGTTAACCAGATAGGTTTATGGAAAGAAAGACAATGACAGAAGATTCTTGACAGCCTTTGTCACAGCACAGAAAGGTGTCACCTCACACACTGAAACTTGTTGTTCAAAACCTCAAGATGTGAGGAAGAAGCATCATCGCCTATGTCAGTTGGTATGGCACTTGATGATAATGTGTATTAATGAACGACGTATCAACATCATGGCGCACGGGTGTAACCTATAAGTGCTCCGTTCTTCTTCTAACTCAAGTCTGAGTCTGAAGATGCTCAGCACAGTGCACAGTAGATTTTTAACTCCTAATTTTGCCCGTTAGGCAACTCTTTTCGATTTCCAACTGCCAAGGTACTTTTTACATGTGCAACAATGCAATTACTAGAAGTCCAAGTCCACGTGAAAAAATCCCAGCCCTTACCGGGGATTGAACCCGGAACCTCTAGCACTAGAGGCAGACACCATGCCTTGAGACCGCGCAGCCGCCTAAATACCAAGAAATGAAATCAAGGAATGAAAAGATTAAACAGCACACATTTTCTATAAACAACCATGATTAAACATGATTAAAATGAGGGGTTCTAATACAAGTCAGAATTTCAAACATAACTGAAACACAAAGACGACCAATGACAAGAAGTTACCTGATTATAGCAAGCTCCTCATCAAGTTCTTCTTCTGTTAAATCTGTGTCACTCTTGAGTAAATCTGCATCCATAGAGATAATACAATGTCAATGCATTCGAGAGTCCAAGCCATGCCGGCATGGTGGGTAATGAAGAGGAAGACAGATTGGCTGGATCTGCACCACTAGGTAGTGAATTGATACATGACAAGGCAGATGTGGTCAAGGCCCTTTGGGAACAAGCAACGGAATCAGTAGAGCAAGAAGATTATTAGGGGCCAGAGAGAATGAGACACCTGGGTGTAACCAGAGAGTCTAGCTGGCTCACTACACTTAGAGGAAAAGCAAGACGGACATATGATCAGATTGTGACCATCAGCATTGGAACTTTGCGCTGGCTTCTGAAGATGAGGGCAGAGCATGTATGGGAATGCCCTGAGTGCTGTGATGTCAATTCTTGACTCAACTCAACTTTAGAGCGTCTACAGGTACTTTATCTTATCAGTGCAATACATAGACAATAAATAAGGTCTAGAACAGAAAATAACTTCCTGTGAAATGTGATGTCTCTGCAAGGTCACTAACAACACAAGAAGACACAGGGTTACGAATACCAGCATTAGAGAGAAAGTTGGAATAAGACCATGTCTTCTTTTATCTTAGTTTCCATAAATCATTTTAGTTGTCCAAACTTATTCCAACTTTACTGTTTAATAATGTTCCCCGGCCATGCAGGGGTTGAAGGCAACAAGATAATGGATTTTTGGGGTTATACTGGCACCATAATGGTAACCTTCATTTAGATCAGTAAGGGGGCTGCGTGATCTTGAGGCATGGCATCCGACTCAAGTGCTGGAGGTCCGAGTTCATTTCCAGTGAAGGCTAGGATTATTTCACATGGACTTATAGTTATTTCCCTGGTCTCTGGGTAGAAAGACTGGACGCCCGTGTGCATTGTTGGGCATGCAAAAAAATCCCTTGGCAGTTGGAAATCGGAAAGAGTAGTCTAACGGCGCTGCCTGTGCAAAATGTTGAGTTAAAAATGCACCTAAAGTATTTCACAATCCTCACCGTTGATACGGAGTTCGTGTACTGCGCTGAGATTCTTCGGACTCGAGCTTCAGTCATAAGTAGAATGAAGCACTTATGGGTCACCCCTTGAGCTATGATATTGAAACATTGTTTAAACCTCAAAACATCTGGATCTGTAATCAATACTGCAATCCTTTTAAGACAGCATACTGCAGATGACACTGTCATCGATCAATCAGCACTGAATACTCTGCTGTTTTGGTTCAGGCAGTGGTGAGACATGATTAGATTGCAAAGATTAAATTAAATTAACAGTATTATAAAATAGTGAGTAGACTATATATAGTAACATACCCATGTAGTTTATTATTTCGATGCTAAATTACAAAGACAGTACAAAGTTAACAAGAAATATAAAAACACTTTAATAACAAACATTAAGTTACACCCCTTTACATAAATAAATATTAAATTACATCCCTTCCCAAAAAAAATTAAGGGAAATAAATTCAAGTCCAATGTTCTTTGCTTATTTTGTTATTTCATATTCAGAGGCAGACAGATAGAAGAACCTAGAATAACAACATCATGAAATGAACAGGCCTAAATTATTATACATTTGTTCAACAAGCGGAGGAGAGAGAAAGATGGCGGCTGGTTTAGTGTGCTAGTGCTTCCAGTGATACACATCCATGACCCAAACGGGTCAAGAGTTATGTTATAGTATTCTTCTTCTGCCTTTCTATCCCCCAATGGAGCATAGGCCCTCAATAAACTCAAGCCAAGTCGTTCTATCCTTCACCATTGCATGGAGCTCTCTCCATGTCCTCCCCATCTTTCTAACTTCATTCTCCAGCTCTCTTCTCAATGTGTTTTTTGGCCTTCCTTTATTCCTATGCCCCTGTGGGTTCCAATGCAAAGACATTCTAATTATGCTGTTCTCCTGTTTTCTCAGTGTGTGTCCTATCCAACGCCAGCATTTTTTCCTCACCTCTTGGTCCACTGGAGCCTGTTTAGTTCTCTCCCAAAGTTCTACATTAGTTATTCTATCATACCATTTAATTCCCTCTATTCTGCGCAGGCACCAGTTAATGAATGTCTGAAATTTATTAGTAATTGCCTTGGTTGTTCTCCATGTTTCCGCCCCATACAGTAGTACTGATTTGACATTAGAATTAAAAATTTTTAGTTAAGTATTTTTTAAAATTTCTTTTGACCTCCGCAAATTTCCTAGTGCTATGAAAGCCCCTCTTGCCTTTTGTATTCTTATTTTAATATCTCTATCGGTTTCTCCATCTTTATCTACATTACTGCCTGAATAGGTGTACGACTCCACGTCTTGGAGTGGGGTGCCATTAAGAGAAATCACATTACTATTTGCCTGATTTATTCTCATTATCTTTTGTCTTTCTTTATGGATTTTCAGACCAAGCTGCTGTGATCTCGAATCAAGAATATTTATTTTATCTTGCATCTGATTCCTTGAATGGGACAGAAGAGCAATATCATCAGCAAAGTCCAGATCATCAAGCTGTTTTGTAGGGGTCCACTGAATTCCATTCTTGGTGTTAGCAGTTAATGTTTTCATCTAGTCTATAGCCAGTAAAAATAAGAGAGGCATATTATAGTCTACACTGGTGAAAATGAGAACCAGGCTTGACATTAGCCCATAGGGAATACAACCTGATGAATCAAGTGCTCAGCAACATGTTATACAGGAACAGTCACAGTCAACATACTGCAGAGAAATACTGAACCTGTACGATTTGTGTAATGAGTCAAAAGTCTTGAACATAAACCCTGACTCCTGGGAGGTTCCTGCACAATACAGACTGAATGGCAAACGTCTATCCGAGGAGGCACCATGACTTGTGAGGCATCTAGAAAAAAAGGGCAGAGCAGCTGAGGCAGGCTAGAAAGACCCGCACAGTAGACCCTTTACCTACAGACACTGTTACCTGTCGCCACTGTAATAGATCTTACGAGCCCTTATTGGGCTTATTAGGCACTTCCTGAATCACAACACAATTTACAACTACATGATGGATCATCGCTTGTGGTGGACGAACAACAAGTCAATGAAATCAACTCTCTGGTCAAAGAAATAAAATGAATACAAACCTTCTGCTTTATCTAATTTCTCCAAAGCAGTTTTCAGGTCTCCCTTGCCAATGTAGTAGCAAGCGTTGTTGTAGCAGATTTCATATGAGTTTTCTTCCAAGCCAGGATCACTCTGCATGAGAACACAGCAAAAAATAGAGGTTTTCTAATGTCAGATACTGGAAGGAGGTGTCAGAACTTTATATACATACAACGTTTTTCGTGTATAAGAGACCACCATATATAAGTAAAGTAAAGGACCCTTTTCCACGCCTTTCAGTTATAGGGTTAGACCTATATTTTATAGACTAACGGCACTAGGTGGGTGATGTGGTCAGCACCACACCGGCCGCCTTTACTTTTCACGACTGTACCTTGTACCCACTCAAGACTAAGCCGAGATAATTTTTTTTTTAAGTCCATACATCTGCCCTGTACAGATGTGAGTCCTGGACTATCTATCTGCAATCGTTTTGGAAGAAAACAGGTGTGTAGAGCTGAAATGAGATTCCCAAAACACCAAGGATCAAGAAGAAAATACTGCCATTCTCAAATATCTGAACAACAAGAAAGATTGGCTAGCAAACAGGATTTTGTCTCACAAACTGAAATATTTGTCCACATCAAGCGCCACATTGGATATGAAATAAAAACTTTAGCAGAAAGCATGGAAAAAAAGGGGGCAGGGGACAACTAGTAGGAAGATAGGCACAGGATAAGAGTGACATCTTGATTAGGAAAGTAAATGAGGTGGGACAGTTGGTGTGAAACCGAGTTTCTTTCCGGCAGGCTGTGAAGACAGCGACGTTCTGCAAAAAGACCTGCTTCATGATGATAAATGACAGTAAGCAACAGTGGAGACTTCTCAGAATGCTGGCCATGTGCTGCTGGTCATGTCAATCCAGAACCTTCTAGTACATTTTTTGCCATGCTATGACGGCAAACTGTCTATCTAACATCTCTTATCTTTGTCTCCTCCAACCTCTCTTTCCCTTAAACTGTTCTGCTTGCATGACATCCATTAGTTTGATGGTCTCGAACCTGGGAGGGTGGGAGGGGGAGGCACAAGATAATTTCAGGGGGGTCGTCAAGCAATTTTGAAATTTAGTTCCTTTGTGCTTGTAACAATCAAGACTTTCAGTTTTAGCAGTCATGAAAATAAAACAGCGGTGCCAGCTTGATGTGGAGAATGATCTCGGTTGTGCCTAGTCCACCTTCAGACCACAAAAAACAGACATCATCAAGACAAAACAGCGTCAGCCATCCCATCACATTGATGTTCAGACACTGAATTACCAATTGTTGGTGATTGTTTCTTTTGTTTTTCAACATGCTGATTATGTGTGTGTTTTCCTTCAAGTTCATGTTAAGAGTAATTAACATTTTTGTTTCTGTCCTTTTTTGAATCCCATTTTTTTATGTTTGAATGGGGAAAGTGGGGGAGGGGAGCATACATATATTAAACAGGCATCTGACTTTCAATACCTTGGATGGTAAATTAGACGAAGAAATTGACATCCGATGCAGTAAAGCTGGCCAAGTATTGGCACAGCTAGCCCCCCTCTTACAGCATAAGGCAATCCCAATCAGCACAAAAAGACATCTCATTCAAAGCATATTCATTCCCACAATTACACAGAAAGACAGCAAATCAAATGGTTTGCCCACTACTTCTGATGCTATACCATTCAAGGCATATACCAAAAGAGGAGAAGGGTGTAGAGGAAGAGGTAGACCCAAGAACAATATGGAAGAATAATATCAGAAAAACTCTACAGTACCACAATGTGTCTTTGGCCTAAGCAGCCAGAAAAGCACAAAGCAGGACATTATATCTCCCTGGACACCCAAAGCGGTAAAAGAGGACATAAAGAAGAAGAGACGGAGAGAAAGGGAGGGGGAATACTCAGGGAGGGGGCGCCACTTGTAAAGGGTTGGAGACCACTGCTTTAGGTTTTCCTTATTCAAGTTGTGCCTAAAAAAATGAAGACTGGTTACTTCTTCATCGGCGACTGGGGGCCACACATTGGCTGGCCGGCAGACGTCTTCATCTTCGGTCGGGACAGTATTTGGGTCTGTCTCTCTTGATCGCTGGCTGATCGTGACCATTTTTTAAAAAAGTAAAGCAAGTCAATTAAAATTTTTCTTCTTGAGCAGGAAACTGGCTCTCTGTGACTTTCAAGATAGCAAGTAGTAAAAGTTCCCCTTTCCACGCCTTTAGGCGTACAGGGCATATAGGGCTAGACCTATGTTTTATAGACCAATCGGCACAGTATGGGTGATGTGGTCAGCATTACGCCGGCCACCTTTACTTCCCAGGACCGCACCTGGTACCCACTCAAGGCTGGGTCGACTGTGGAGCCAAGGTCATTTTTTATAAAAAAGTCCGGCTCCGCCAGGGAGCAAACCCACGACCTTTCAATCCGTGGCAAGTATCAAGGCACTTCACCACTGCGACTTCTAGACTTTCTAGATATCTTCACCACATCGTTTATTCAATAATATAATTATCCATGCAGTCAGCAGTGTTCTAAAGAAAGAAATGTTAATGATACATTATCAACATGTTTGTAATGTACTACCATGTCCTTCAGGCCCCACAACTGAAGAGAAGCTATAACAGCTGACAGATTTGTCTCCCTTTCTGAATCATAGTCATCCTAAACAAAGAAAAGATTTAAATGGAAGTAAGTTAATAAAAATAAATGCATGAGTAAAAAAAAAAAAATTATCAATATCTTCTTTTACTTGTTCCTTTCTTTTCTGATTTTACCTACAGCTTCAGACTAAGATAAGACATTTGGAGTGAGTTCTTGTGAGTTTAAAAAAAAATAGATTATGCTATTGACAATCTCATATATTCCATTATTCAACCATTTACACTGAGTCCCAGGTATCGAAGTCTTAAAGAGTTCTTTATGGGCCATGTCTTGTGATATTAACACCCCTAACCACTGAGCCCATGGGCACTGGACTGCAGGCTATTTCGTAATAAGTTTTTGTGGTCCCCAATAAAACCGCGCCTAATGGCGTTACGGTTGACCGGGCTTTCCATGATTTGTCTTCTTCTTCGCCTTCGCCAGCTGTAAACTCCGGCGAAAAGTTCTCATTCTTCGTCCACTTCTGGACTGCAGTCCTGTTTCAGAACCTGAGTGTTGCGTGTGCATCCATTTGACAGATCTGACTCATTTGTGTGCAGACTGTTGGTTCCTTGCCTCTCAGACAGATGCACTCCAACTTCCAAGGAAGCTCCCAATTAGTCGACTCTTACGACATGCTTTTGGGTAGGCAGTGGGTCAATTCTTGTTTTCCCTATAATAAAGCCCCAGAACCCACACAGGGACCATGATTTGTAAATGCAAACTGGAGGGGACATAGTGTAAAAAAAAAAAATTGTTTCACATGTCAGGTCCTCAAAGACAAACTTCAAAACATCAGAAAGTCATCCTTTTTCAGTCATGTTATGAGAAGAGGGAAAATGGAACATGTTGTGACCACTGGTAAGATTTGTGGAAAGAGAGACAGAGAAAGACATCGTGAGAAGATTTTTGACAGTTTTTTGTCATGGTGTGAAGGGGTGTCAGTACACAAACTGATACATGCAGTTGAGGATCGCAGACTGTGGAGAAGCATAATTGCCCACAGCAGTCGGCAAGGCACTTGATGACAATAATCTTATTACACTCAACCTACTTGTTGTTTTCTCAATGCATTCTCAATGAGCTGTTTATACTGTTCTGACTTCACAGCTTTCAGTTTTGTCTTGTTTCAATAGCGACGTCCGTGGCTAAGGCGTTGCGAGTCCGACTCGTAAGCCAGCATACCGCGATCGAAACCCACTGCAGGCTGCGTGGATTTTTGTCGTCGTATGGGACGTCGCAGGTCGACCCAGCCTAAAATGGGTACCAGGATGGGCTGTCCTGGGAAAGTAAAGTCAGCCGGCGTAATGCTGACCACATTACCAACAGAGTGCTGATGGTCTGTAAAAATATGGGACCCTCTGCCCATATGCCCGATGCGCCGAAAGGCGTGAAAAGGGAACTTTACTTTTTTTTTTTACTTGTTTCAATAAATTAAAGATGGCAGTTACATTATCAATCAATCACCATCCCGTAACACTGGGTGTCGTTGGGTCACCAGTTTCTGTTGACTGTCTCATCAGCTCTCTCCCCCTTTGGCGGTCAGTTGCGATGGACTTCATGGTTGCATGCCTGATGTCTGTCCAGTCAGTCAGGTTCTGTAACCAGGTCTTTTTTTGGTCTGCCTCTTCTCTTCTTTTCCTCTACTGAGCCCTGCAGTATTGTTTTTGAGAGGCCGTTAGATCTTATTACATGTCTATACCATTGCATTGTTTGCCCTTTCACTGTACTTAAAAGAGGTTCAGAGTTGCCAATGTATTTCAATTATGTCCAGCGGAAAGTTCTGGTTGTTTATCCACCTATGGATTTCAGTCTCGTTCCAGAAACTGACTTGCATGCACATCTGTTTTACAGATCTGACTTATGTGTATGCAGACTGTTAGTTCCTTGCCTCTCAGGCAGATGCACAACAACTTCGAAGAAAGCCCCCAGTTAGTAGACTTCTACGACATGCTTTTCCGGGAGGCAGTGGGTCTATTCTTGTTCCCTTAATGGGGCCCCGGAACCCACACGGGGAGGACTAATATTAATAATACACCTGCGCTGGGACCAAAATTGTGTTCATGTTCATCGGGTGTTATTAGGTAAGTTTGTGGTAAGTGTGTGGTATGTTTCTGGCAAGTAGTGGTTAAGTTTGTAGTAAGTCTGTGGTTAAGTTTGTGGTAAGGAAGTTTTACTACATAATTCTGCTGTACATGGACACAAATACAAATGAGTAAGATAACTGTATCACTCTGTAGACGATACCAAAATATGACACCAACCTGTGAATTTTTGATCACATCTCTGTACAGGTTGTAGCATTCTTCAAACTGTTCAATTCTGTACAGCTGTATGGAGGAGTATAATCATCAAGTTATTTTACCATACTAGAGTAATAAAGTCAACAAAAACCGTATCATGTTATCTTAATAATGTTGGTTTCAGGGCTCCATTCTGGGATGGTCGGGTGGAAAGGGGGGGGGGGGGGGGGGGGGGGGGGGGGAGGACGACCAACCAAAAAAACCAGATCCTCTGCCACTCTCACTCTGAGAAAGCCACTTTTCTTTCTTTAAAAGATTTGTGATCATGTAACATCTCTGAGCAGTGCAAAATATGCCTATATAACAGCTTTGGACTGGTTACAACTCTGTACTGTGTATAGACATGGTGGGTATGATTTTTTTCACACACCCCTAACAAATATATCTGATATTATTTGGGAGTGAAAAGGGAAGTTATTGCTATGCTCCATTTGTATTTAGTAATTACTTCCCCTAAAATTATATATATATATATATATATATATATATCTAATATATATATATTATATATAATAATTATTTTTTTATATATATATTACCTATTGAGCAAATATATGACTAAATTTGAAAACTCCTTTGAGCTTGGAAAACTCCAGCTTGGGAAGACTTGGGGGCTGTGATGATGCTTGGCGGTCAAAGGTTTAAGCCCCCTCCCCCACCTTTGTTTTCCCGGATTTTTATAAAAACTTATCAAGACTCCATCCAAGAACAGAAAAAGAAGAAAAGGAAGAAAAAGCAGAAGAAGAAGGAAAAGAAGAAGAAGAGGTGCCAGTAAAAGTGTCAACAACAAATTGTATTATATTAACAGTAAAACACACAGTCGTCTTAAACACCCCTTCGTTTGTATGATAGACCTTTATAAAACAAGTTTGTCATATTCCGCAGCTCAATTGTGGAATTATCTACCACAGCAAACCAAAAGTATCACTAGTCCATATACATACAATCGGAAACTGTTCGAACATTATCTCAGCACCGATTATATGCCCCCATAGAAGATAAAACATGTAAAAAAATAGCGCCCATTAATTTAGATTTGTTACAACTAATACGTTTTACTGTAGTTAAAAATGTGCACATTCAAGTGCTTGTATTGATTATTCTGATGCTATTGCAAACTTCTAATATTACTTGATGTGTGAATGAAATGATGTGAGAATGGAGGGAGACCTCGAAGGGCAGAATGTTAGACGGGCCTGTGTGCCCAATTCTTAACCCTTTAAAAATAAAGTTTGTTCGTTCGTTCGTTGATTATGTGTGAAAGCCTGCTTATATTTGTCCACTTCAAACTCATACATTTGTTGGGTTAAAAAACATATACAAAAACAAAAACTATTAACAGGACACCGTATTTTAATGAATTTAAGTTACAATATTACACAACAACAGAGTCCGTCAACGTTAATTCAACGAATCAAGGTTTTAGTGACTGGAACTACAAGAGCACTGTGAAAGAACTTATCAGGGCACTGTTGATGAAAAGTATCATAAACAAAGCTAATGAAATAGCCTGTTTTTCATAGTATATAGTTACTTACAACTGCAATAAACAATTTAAATTACATCATCCATTGTAATACATAACACATAATAAAGATACTGAGAAATGTCTCAAATGAGATTAGACCTAGATAAGCTGAGAAACTTCTAATGGCAGTGGAAATGTGAGGTGATTGGGATTCAAAGGACAGGCGGAAAAAGAAATGACAGCTTCAAGAAACATGAAAACTTGAGTGTATTAGAGCTTTAAGATTTATTCACAGAAAGTTGTAAGATTTAGGCAATAAAAGTTGTAAGATTTATATACGAGCTCCATACCAAACAATCTTTTTTCTTACAATCCATACTGTGTGGGGGTTGGTAGTCATCTCTGTCCCCAACCTTCTGTCTTATGTACTTTGAATCCATTCTGACACTGATAATCTTCCATGCCATGTCAAACTGTCCAGCCTTTTCCCCCTCCAACATTCCCACTGTCATACTGTACTCCAGTTTTCTCTTTCTCATGACATGCCCAAAGAATGTAGCTTGTCTCCTTCTGATGTGGGCAATCAGATACCTTCATAAGTCAATTTCTTTCAAGCCATCTTCTTTACTCTATTTACCTGTCCATGTTTTCTTATGCACTGCATACAAATCACATCACTACTCCCACATAACTTCATTTTACAACTGGCCAAGTGTTCATGATTCGGTTCTGTACATCAGAGAATCTTGAGAATTCTCTTCCTCACCTCAACTGACAAAGAAAGACGATGGATCAACATCATGGCACAAGGGTAGTAACCCATAAGTGTTCCATTCTGACTCAAGCCTGAGTCTGAAGAATCTCAGCATAGTTAACGAAATCTGTAGCACTGACAAGAATCCTGAAATAATTTGGGTAGATTTAAAACTCCAAATTTTGTCGGGCAATGCCGTTAGGCTACTCTTTTTCCATTTCCAACTGTTAAAGGGATTTGTTTAAGTGCGCAACAAAACACTGAATAAGAAATACTGCATAGAATATTTTTTATTTTATGAAATGCTGCCTCTGCTTGAGCTATTCTACATTTAACTTAATCTTTCATCTGCTGTTATCAGAATACTTCAAAGTATCAACTTGCTTGAGGATTGCCACACTTACTTTTATATGGCATTTTGGAGGGTCCATTTTCTTTGTAATCACTGCTTCTGTTTTTCTGCTGTCCAAACTAAGACCCTTGGTTTGACCTAAACTCTAAATAAGCGTATTAAAAATAAAACGTAAACTATTATCTCACCACTTGGCACAATAGCTCCTTAGTGCGTACATCCTGGGTGGTGACTGATTTTAAGGTATTTAAAGCCTCGTTCGTACGGTTCAAACGGTACTCACAATAGGCTTTCTCAAACTTGAGGGACCTGTTAACAAAAGCATACTGTTTAGAGGTACTTTATTTTTTTAATTCACCCCCCCCCCCCCCCCCCCCCCCCAAAAAAAAAAAAAAAAAAAAAAAAAAAAAAAAAAAGGAAATCCCGAAGTTCCAATATTCTAACGTTTGGCTTAGAGTTAGTCAGTGTCTCTGAGGCGGTCGGGACTAAAAAAGGTTCATAACATCAACCTAGAATATTGAACTTTCTTCAGGACCTCTGGAATTTCCTTTGCTTGGGGTGAAATAAAAGTACCCTATTTCAGCCATGAAATCAACATCAGCAAACATGAAAAACAATTCAGTTCATCATATTTTAAGTTTTCTTTGTCACTGTCATTGATTTCTACAGCTACTTTCATACCCAGCCTTTTCTTGTTGTTAAAAATAATTTCAGCTCAGAAATTCTTCTTTCACAATAACTAGCTAATCTCAATTCTAACACCACAGTTGCTCTGTTCCTGTGCCAATGAAAACACACAGAATGTCCATCGCTGTCCCTTGTGAAAAAACTGACAAAGACTAGTCTCAACAAAACCAATAATATACACATGCATCAAATGCATAAGGCAGCCATTTGAAGTGCCAACACAAACAGTCCAGCATTAGAAAGGAGCTCATCACTGATAAAAGCAGCAGATCAGCAGTCGCACATGCAATTAACTGCATAAGGCACCGCTAGCTGAAGTACAAGAGGTGGGAGAGCTGGCGAGAGACCTAGTTTCTTTTACGCAGATTGTGATGAGAGCGAGGTTCTGCAAAGGACTACATGATGACCATCAGTTCTGTGGCAACAGGCTATATGCCATTTCTGAATCTGCGGTTCAAAATACAGTGTTGGGCACTGCTGAAGCACTTCAAACATCTACAGCTGTGTTGTGTGATAGACTCAGCTCAGTAGCTGGGCAATGGAACACCATACTTTCAGTCCAAATTATGGGGACAACGACTAAGCACAGTCAGAAGCAAACAACTTGTCACAACTACGAGCAGTCAGCTTGTCTATCTGCCATTCTGGCAATATAAAAAGCCATTGAAAGTTGAAGAGCTCCAAATGAGAGAAAACTGATGCTTTCTGTCAACTACATTATTCTTAACAGACTACAGGATGCATTATCTCCTTTTTCGCACTTGTTGGCTGTAAACTCCAACGGGAAATTCTGGGAGTTTGTTCACCTCTGGATTTTAGTCTTGTTCCAGAACCTGAGTGTTACATGTACATCCGTTTCACAGATTTGGCTTATTTGTATTCAGACTCTTGGTTCCTTGCCTCTCAGGCAGATGTACTCTGACATTGAAGATGCCCTCAATCAGTCGACTCCTTCGACATGCTTGTTGGGGAGGCAGTGGATCTAATCTTGTCTTCCCCACACTGGGGCTCTGGAACCCACACAGGGAGACTGGATTATGAAGACAACTTCGTCTTCAGCAATCAACATATATTATGTATCTATTCCAGTATGGGTAACAAACAGGATGTGGTGCACAAGAAGTCTTTATCTGTGCCCTCTAATTTGTCCACAGGGTCACTTCCTGTGGGCCAGCTTTCTACTTCACAACTGGCAAATCAAGGTAATCTTTAAGACATGCTCTGGAGTTTGTCTGGGTGCACAGTCAGCGAGACCCAGAATGTAAGACAACAATAACGACCATAAGAAATGGAATTCACAGCACCTCGATGCTCTGGAGTCTGCTGACAGTACTGCCAACAAGTCCCACACATGAAGGTAGATGCAAGATTTCCTAACCCTCTCACCGAGGAAACATTTGACAGTCACATTACACCAAAACCTTTTGCTCAACAGCCACACTACACCACAATCTTATGCTCAACGGCCACATTACACCACAATCTTATGCTCAACGGCCACATTACACCACAATCTTATGCTTAACGGCCACATTACACCACAATCTTATGCTCAACGGCCACATTACACCACAATCTTATACTCAACAGTCACAATACACCACAATCTTATGCTCAACAGCCACACTAAACCACAATCTTATGCTCAACAGCCGCATTACACCACAATCTTATGCTTAACCAGCCATATTTCATCACAATCTTAAGCTCAACAGCCACATTACACCACAATCTTATGCTCAACAGCCGCATTACACCACAACCTTATGCTCAACAGCCGCATTACACCACAATCTTATGCTCAACAGCCACATTACACCACAATCTTATGCTCAACAGCCATAGTACACCACAATCTTATGCTTAATAGCCACATTACACCACAATCTTATGCTTAACCAGCCATAGTACACCACAATCTTATGCTTAACCAGCCATATTTCATCACAATCTTATGTTCAACAGCCATATTACACCACAATCTCATGCTCAACAACCATGTTACACCACAATCTCATGCTCAACAACCACGTTACATCACAATCTCATGCTCAACAACCATGTTACACCTCGATTTTAAGCTAAACATCCACAATACACTACAATCTTATACTCAATGGCCACATTACACCACAATCTTACCCTGAATGGGTCTTGTCCTTGTTCAAAGCTTGAAGGGCTTCATCGAAGTTGCCTAGCAACAGAAGACTGACAATCTTACAGTTGAAAGCTGCAAATTCTTCAGGATGCTGCTGTAGAACTGAAACAAAATTGCATTGCCTCTGATTGTGTCCATTGTTTCCCAAAATTAACACATTTTCTTGCAACTGTATCTTACAAGATACGAACACAAAGAACTGGCTCATCAACAGCATTTCATCCTTAAAGCTAAGGTTTTCTGACAATATATATCATGGTGGCCCGGAAAGATCGACGATGGAGGATAGTTTCCAGAAAATGAGGCAGAGGTAGGTAGTGTTACTAACAGTTTTCTCAATGGTCAATGTCTGAATGAAGGTTCAGGTGGCTGGCTCACACCTGGAGAATGGAAGATGGTAGACAGTCCCTAAGTACATCCTCTATGATGAATGTAGAAGATGTCAGATGTTGAGGCCAACCTCTGCTCTGATATATTAAGATGTGTGCAAACCGGACATGAATTATACAGGCACTGAGGTGGATTTGAGGATACAAAATGAATGCCATAGAATGGCGCCAATGTAGCAGGCAAATCAGGAAGGGAATCCGGGCTATCCTCCAAATAACGGGCACATATTATGGCGGCCAAAAACACACCCTAACAGGGCCTCAGTCACATGTCAATTGCGGACTTCCGGCGACTACCGCCACCACCGAGAGTATCTCCCCGGGCTACGCGTGGCGTAGAGCGGCACTAAACTAGATGGCTGGGACTCACAAGCAGCAGCTACCGAAGCTTCCTTCATTTTATTTGCTTGTGAGTCCAAGCCATCTAGTTTAGCACCAATCCATGACGCACGTAGCGGCATGGGGAGATACTCTCAGCGGTGGCGATGTAGTCCCCGGAAGTTCACAATTCGGTGGTTGCGGTATAGTCCCCGGAATGACATATGACTGAGGCCCTGTTAGGGTATATTTTCGGCCTCGATAATTTGGGACCGTTATTCAGAGGATAGTCAACTCAATGGTCCTTAAATCCCATCCATAATGTGATTTTTTTTTTTAATGCAGGCGGGTCTTCTTTTGTCTCGCTTGCTAGTCACTCACCAAAGCCATCATGATCACAAGCTGTGAGTGAGCCCAATGCTCCCTCACCTCAGAGTACTAGAACCTGTACAATTAATGAATCAGGCTCTCCTCCGAACTTCTACTCCCGCATTATGGCGGCCTGAAATATCCATTCAGGGCTCAGTTCTATTAAAAATATGCCAGCTCCGTATAACAAAACAAATGCTCTAACAGGGTCTCAGCGATATGTAACTTGCAGACCTGTTTCTTATTGTTTCTGATTCCCAGACAATTCTAAAAGACGCAACACTGCAGACGATAGTAGCAGAGGATAATAGCGACCGTTGACACTTTCTATTGTCGGACTTTCTGCCGAGGAACAAATATGTTAAAAATGGGGACTTGGACTTTCTGCCGACGAACAAATCGCGGCAAATCTAGGAACGGAAAAATGAAACAAATGCTCTAACCAGAGTTAACCTGTTTCTGTGACTGAGGCCGCCATAATAGTAGGGACCACAGAAAATGGGGAAATGTCGGCTGGGGTTTCGGGACTCATGAAATTTTTGATTGGTGTGATTTTCACCCACTTTCTGCCGAGGAACGATTAACAGCGCATGTCTACGACAGCCGGAAACATTCTCTGTTTTTTCTGTTAGTCTATCAGTTTGATTGAAAATATGCGGTAAATTCGACTTTTAGGCTTAAACATTACCAGTTGTGGTAATGCTAGTTACAATTGAATTCTCCGTTCCAATTTTACATTACATATTAATTTTTTTTTTCCCGACTCTGGCTGTTTAGATTTACAGTGACATTTTTTAATGATCGCATGCGGCTGAGTGAGCTGAGTCTCACTGCCTGCCATCTTGTCCAATGGTCCTCAGCAAAGCCGATGTTACTTGCGTAGGTTGCGCAGTAAAAAACCTGTTTTCTGTGACTGAGGGCCAAAAACCTACATATCCTCATAATGACATACAAGCCTAAATGGGTAGAATTGTTTACAGCTATCTAACTGTCTGGTTTTATTGGTGTAGAGGGGACTGAGTAGCTAGTAGAATGAGGAGAGCCATGAATCAACACTATCGTCCCACTAGTCCCAGCGTCTGTAATGACAAGTGAACAACAATATATAACCAGTGAGAATCTGATCTAGACTATTTTTTTAATATGTTATGATAGCTTTTTTTTTTTTTTTGTTTCACGGCTATCATGATCATATGATGACCACACACAAAAGTGATCGAGAGGCGAGGGAGAATCGCAAAGCGGCGACCCATTCTGTTGACCACCGTGGTTCTCTAAACATAACCTTTGCATTTTATAGTTTCTACTTACTTTTATTTGCTATTCTAACGGCCTTTTCATATTCCTGTTTCTGGCCAAAGCGGTTTAATTCAGCGTAAAGGTTTGAAAGTGTTGCTGTTTGCTGATTCTGTGCCATGTCGACTACAAGTCAAACTGCACAGCTACTCTGCCTCTCAATTTATTTTCGTTTCAAACAGTCAAAAAATACATCCTGTTAACTGAAACATGTTATTAATATTATGTACCCAAATCATATGGTACACAGTTTATTTTTACAAAATATATATATATATACACACGCACACACACACACACACACACACACACACAATAATACACAGCCAAGCCTAGAATATTTTATAGTTAGTAATTTTTTCTCTCTTGAGCCTTAGGTGGCTCATAGGGCATGGGTCATAGCTCTCCATGTCTGGCGGTTCGTTGCCACCTGTTTTAGGTCTTCGATTTTCTTCAGGCCTACGGTTGAGCCTTTCTTGATGATGGCAGGGTCTCCTTGTTCTTTCCCGTTTTGTTTTTCCTTTCCGGTGTCAGTATAAGGGCTTGATAGGGGAGTCTTATTTACCGATAAATATTAAATGGTGTTATTTCAAGAAAAGCGAATAAATCACACCCCCCCCTCCCCAAAATTATACATAAGCATTAGTACACACAGTTATATGGAAGTGGCAATATAGAGGGCACATCTAAGCAAAAGACATGCATAACACAGCTACTGAGTTGCGTGCATGGTGTGACACTGTGGATTTCCTTTGGAATGCTATTTTGACTGTGATTTGTGTTGTGTGCTTCTGATTCAGAAAATGGCGATTGGCCTGTTGCTACAGAAGTTGTTGTGTGTCGGCAAGATACCCTTGTAACTCCTCGCAGTGCCATTCTCCTCAGACCCTAATAATCTATCTGCTCGTTGGTACCGTTCATTCGCTTCCAAAGGGCCCTCACAACATCCAGCTTGTCATGAGTTCACCACCAAGTGGTGCAGAACCAGGCAATCTGTCTGTCTGCTCATTTCCCAACACACCGGCATATCCTGGAGAAAATATCCACTGTTCTCTTCATATGTCATAAGCATTGCTGTGTATTAGTATAAACCCCTATGATGGCAATGACCAGTGGTGATTTAGACAGTTTATGAAAATCGTTTTCACTTCTCTATCCCCATTCTCCGCTATTCTCATCTGTGATGTTTCCAAAGATTCGTGGTAAGAGTGTTACCAAAAAGTCTGTAATAACTCTTTGTCTCTTTTATTTGTCCTCCAGTTTTCAGTGATATATAGGGCATCCGGGGGTTTTTCCTTTTAAAAAGAAAGTACCAATGCTCACTCTTATGTGTTTTTTTTTAAAAAAAGATGCCGGAACTCGCCACAAAGTGTCTTTTACAGTCATCATCATTATTATAATGTAGTAGAACGTCGCTCTCATCACGGTCTGTCTGAAAGAAACTCGGTCTCTCGTCAGCTAGTGTACCTTAATATTCCAGGAGTCACCTACATCCTTCTTGTTGGTCAGCACCTACCTCTGCTTCATGGTAACTTGCCTTCTGCTATTAGTTTTTTCAATCCGCTTGATATGACCAAAATATTTCAGCTCCCGAGACCAAATGGTGTTTATTAGCAAAACTTCCTTGATGTTCAGATCTTTTACAATAGCGCTGAAAAAGGTTCGATGCTTTCCCAATATCACCCTCAGGATAATGACACAGGACAGTCCAATATTTTCGAGGGTGGTAGGAGAGAGTTTCCCGGCTTTCTGGTGCTATTAACTACCCAAAAAACATCTAGAACTGGGCCTAGCCCCAACCTACCTACGTCCCACGAGAGAGTGCAGCCTAGGTCCCACGACTGCATGCAACCTATCTACCACCCCTAAAATATTATACTGTCTGTTGGGGGGGGGGGGGGTTATTGGGATAGAACCAAAGGTTCTTTTCTGTTTAGCGATCACATCACGCGTGATTTAGGGATATCCCATATTATGGGGGAAGGGGGGGGAGTAAGGTTTAGGGTTAGTAGTAGTCGCGATTCCTTTAACACCAACCCTAACTCCCCTATCACTGCTGGCTGCGTAGATTTTTATCGTAGTATGGGGTGTCGAAATGGGTCCCAAGATGGCTGTCTCGGGGAACTAAAGAGAGCCGGCGTAATGCTGACCACATTACCCGCTTGTGCCGACTGGTCTGTAAAAATATACCCAATACACCTAAGGGTGCGAAAAGAGATCGTTACTTTATTTTTTAGTTTACTAACCTATAATATGGGATAATATGGGCATAAAGAGGGGCGTACGACAAGGATGTGTACTGTCACCTGATTTGTTTTCAATATACAGTGAATATAAAATGGGATCTTTAATTGATATGCCCGGAATTGTGGTTGGTGGGCACAATATAAACAATTTACGTTATGCTGATGACACAGTCTTGATAGCAACAAGTCAGAAAGAACTGCACAAAATGATAGACATTGTGGTGTTAGAAAGTGGAAGAATGGGCCTCAGTTTGAATAATGGGAAGACAGAAGTAATGGTGGTAATTCTGGTAATCTGGTAATCTGGTAATCCTAGTTTCAGCTTCATAGCAAACGGGTCACCCCACATATGCTCCGCTCCTGTGCAAACGAAAAACAAACGCAGCTCACAGTGTCACGCCATGCACTCAACTCAGAAGCTGGGCGACGAAACTACATCCTTCCAGTCTGCAAATGGAGCAAAAATGCAACGGCCACCGTCTGGCAAAAAAAAAAAAAAAAATATTTGCCACGGCTTTTAAAAAAAAAAAGGGGTGGCCATACCTAGCGTCCATTTTGACCGGAAGAATTATATGAGGGTTAATAAACGGTCACCCCAGCAGTACCCTCATTATTAGCTGGGGAAGGGACTTAGGACATTACATCCACCAGCAGGCGTCGCCCCTACAACGACCTGCCTGCCATCGTTAACGACTGTTCACCCAACAGCCATGCAGTTCTTTGGCACGAAGGAGACACCTTGAACTTGGGTTTCGTACTGCCGACTCCCTACTAAGATGTTATTTTATGTTCTGTTATCACAATTAATGTCACTGCACATTGGGCATACCCATGTGTGCTCAGTTCTCCGAAGCAGCAGCCACTCCAAAGTACTTCTACTAATTGTCCCCATGAGAAGCTGGTTATATTGTCTCCTTTCTCGGCCTCGAAGACGGCAAAGACGTGCATCACCATGCTTAACTCCCATGTCACGCAATCGTGTTAGTGTCAGGGATTCCTCATTCTCCACTAGCCCAGTTCGTACAGCGTTGACTATGTCTGCTCTGTCCATACTTTTTCCCACAATCATTAGTGCAGTGCTGGCCAGTTGGTCTGCTCGCTCATTTCCCTTCACGCCCGCATGACCCGGTGTGTAGATCCAGGTTACGGAGGTTAAGTGCGATTTCCTGATGCTTTCTATCCATTCAGAGCGCATACTGCCTGTTGCTATCTTCTGAGGCATATTCATTGAGTCTGAGACAATTACTACCTGTGTGGCGGTTTGCTCAGATACCCATGCTAAAGCTCTAGAAGCAGCGGCTATTTCCATTGTCATGCTTGACGTGGTTGTCTGGTAAGCGCCGCTGTCCTCATGTATTGTTTTCCCCTTTCTTTGCGCTGTGTATGCCCATGCTGACCTTGATCCGCGCTTCACGGATCCATTTGTGTAGATGATGGTATCTTCTGGGTCTGAATGCTGATCTATCAGTTCCCTTACTTCTGTGTCTACCGCCGCAGGAATTTGATCCCTGCAGTACCTTCCGAGTGTGATGACAACCTTAGAGATGCCATGCATGTCTACTGGTGTATTCGTCCATTCTTTTCCGTGGCTGATCACGTCTAGGTCACATACCTGCTGGATTAAGTCCTCAGCCTTTGCCATCCAAGAGCGGCCCCTTTTGAGACGCGTTCCTTTTGTGTCGTGAATAGCTTTGTGTAATGGGTGGTTAACATCTGCCGATACCCTCATGTAAGCCTGTGCCACTTTGTATCTGCTTGTCATAGTGGGCAGACCCAGGATATAACGCATGGCGTTGCAGGAGGTGTCTTTTGTGCAGCCGAGTATGAGTCTCATGGCCTCATTCTGTACTCGGTCCAGTCTTTCTAGCTGGGTGGTAATTAAGAAACGAATCATTCCCAAATGTATAATAAAAGTCGATGGTGTTATTTTAGGACAAGTATAGAAATTTAAGTATCTGGGCACATGGATAACATCAGATGGAAGATGCATAACTGAGATAAGAAACAGAATAGGACAGGCAAAAACTGCATTTTATCAAATGAAAAACATCTTGTGCAATACATCCATGTCGTTGAGAGTTAGAAAAAGAATTCTTGCTTGCTACATACATCCAGTTTTAACACATGGCTGTGAATCCTGGACAATTGGTAGGCAGGTCAAACAATTTCTTGAGGCCTCAGAGATGTGGTTTTACAGAAGAATGCTTAGAATTCCTCGGACAGCCAAAAAGAGCAACCAAGAGGTTTTGAAAGAGGCGGGAGCCCGAAGACAACTTGTCACAGACATCAGAAGGAGACAGTCATAATTTTTCGGCCATGTTTTGAGGAGTGGGAAAATAGAACATGTTGTGACCACTCGAAAGATCTGTGGAAGGAGGGATATAGGAAGACGACGAGAGAAGATGCTTGACAGTCTTGTTGCATGACATGGAGATGTGTCGACACACTAACTGATACATGCTGCAGGAGATCGCCTACGCCAGTCGGCAAGGCACCTGATGATGATGATGATGGATATGGGATGTCCCTCAATCAGTCGTGATATGAACGCTCAACAGAAAAGAACCTGGTAAAAAATTATGCTAACAAAAGCTGCCTGTTCTAATATACCGTTGCGTACCGCAAAGAAAAGAAAGGCCCTGAATTCTACTAAATGCAGATGATGTGAAGACACATCCTCACCAACAGCAATCTACAAAATACAGAAAACCCACTAACCTCCTGCGCATGCTCGGGGTTGCTAAATATAGCAACACAGCAGAAGTAGCACCTGATCAAAACAAGCAAGATGGCAGAGTCCCTCAAACCCCTGGTTCACAAACGAAATAAGGTACCACAGACTGGCTGTTGTTTGCTTTTCCTCGAATTATAATCATGTTTCAATTCCTTTTCTGTTGTATGTTCACAACAGATGGCAAAATCGCATGAAAGATTGCTGTAAGAAAGTACAGACGATTCCTACATTCATTGTTGATATTTGTTTTGTTTTTGAAGACTAGCAGTAGAAACTCGTCTTGCGACGGTCTCAGTGAGACTGGAGTGTAACGTTAATTTGATTAAGATGGTCACATATTTCGTGTTCTGATTATTTTTTTAATGGTCCTACTACTGCTGTTCTATAATTGTTTATATACAAACAGTTGCATTCATTTGCTATTGTTTGTAACTGATTCACTCATGTATTTTGACAAATTTTGAGAGGTGGAAATTTCTTGTCCGAAAACAGCTGCTAGGCAAACAATGGATAACGATCCCAGATCTGCTTTTTTTTTTTTTTTTTTATCTTTTCCATCTGTCATATAAGTTGCTATTATACAATTTTGATTTAGCTCTTTTCTGATCTTTCGCCCCATCTAGGCGGCTGCCAGATTTGGTAGGTGATTCCTAGGGAGTTTTCTAGAAAGATCCTTATTATAGTTGCATTTTACAGCATGTTTGTTAAAGGGCAGTTGATCTTTTCTTTCTTCCTCCAAAATAGGGTCACACATGGAGGACAGTGGGGATTCAATTAAATTGTCTACTTCTCTTCTTTACGCTCACTGTCTGTAAACCAGCAGAAATTTCTGACTGTTTATCCACCTCTGGACTTTGGTCATGTTCCACAACCTTCCCAGCATGGGTTTCGGGATCACATTTTGGGGGAAAACAAGAATAGATCCACTGCATCCCCAACAAGCATCTCACAGGAGTTTACTAATTGGGGGCTTCCTTTGAAGTCTGAGTGCATCTGCCAGAGCGGCAAAAAACCACAAGCTGCACAGAAATGAGTCAGTAAAAAGCACGTACACGCAAACTCAGGCTCTGGCACAAAGTCAAAGTCTAAATGGACCCAAAAAAACCAGGACTTTCTGCCAGAGCTAACAGCTTATGAACTAAGAAAAAGAGGAAGTTCCAGAACCTAAGTGTTGCTTGCACAACTGTTTTACAAATCTGACTTATTTGTATACATACTGTTAGTTCCTTGCCTCTCAGGTATATGTACTCAGTCTGACTTCAAAAGATAACAAGTTATTACTACTTTGATATTTGTTACCTTGGTCCAGAAGGGGAGAAAAGTATAGTAACACAGTAACCTGTCATACATGTTGAATGAGGCATCTAAAGAGAGGTGGTGTGAGACTGGCTGCCTATCCTATAGCTGCAAAATCTACCCAGTCATGAATAAGTTTTTCCATTTAAATGTTTATTATGGTAAAAATGTGTTATTTTTGTATTTCAGAAGCCAAAGCAAACATCACGGAGCTCTAAAGTCGTATTTGATAACACAGCAGTAAACGAAACCACATCTATAGAGTTTCAAACAAAAGAAACAGAAACTTCAAATCAAAATATAGCAGTTACAGAAGAAACAAGTGAGGGAGTAAATGATATTGCCCAAGTTGTTAAACAAGACATTGAAACAAGTAAAGTTGTCAGCTCACAGGATGTGAATACTTCAAAGGGAACATTGTCCAATGTGGAACAAGCTGACATTGGTGTGTCTATTTCAGGAAACTCAACCTCTCTTGTGGATAGTAATGATGATCCTGCTCTATTAGATGATGATAGCAAGAATAGAGTGGTGCTAGTTAGTGATACAGGAGGAACTGAACAGCAGAATAGTCCTAAAAGACCACAGACTCTGCCAGAACTTCCATCCATGAACTCACAGCAGAATGTGTCAGTCAGCAAGCCTGAGCAAGAAGCCATCATACCCAAGCCCCAAGAAGCAGAACCTGCTGCCTCAGCATTGTCCCTTGCCTTTTATATGCAGCAGCACCAGTCATCTACTGGACAGTTGCAGCAGCAACAGCAAGCTTCAGGAGATGCAGTCAATAGTACAGAGACTGTGAAACATGTGTCCTCTTGTCCAGCTGTGATTGAGGATCCAAATACACCTATGTCCCGTGTAGTTTCCACTCCTATTTCAAAATCCATCAGAAGTGAGGTTAAAACCTCGTCCACTCCAACAATAATTCAAGAAGAGAAAAGCCCTACTTTGCTGGCACAAGAAGCTCTTGCTAAATCTCAGGTTCTTAATTTTAGCATTACATCCTCAGTACAAGATACAACAACATCTTCAGCAAATGTCAGATCCAATATCAAAGACTCCCAGGCCAGTCATGTTGACAGCCACACCAAGGTTGATCAGGAGTTACTTGTTTCAGAAGCTTCACAGGTCAAACATCCCGTGAGTGTTTCTGAAAAATCCAGCAGTGACAAGGAACAGACCAAAGCCAAACAGCTGCATTACCCTTCACTGGAAGGAGTCTCCAAACCAAACAGCAAGTCCAGGCTTGCTCCTATGACACTGCATGAGCTCTTGTCTCTCTACTATAACCCAGAGCTGGCATACAATAACACTTTTGTTGATGAGTTTATTCAGGTATCTTTTCATTGTTTTTTCCCATTGTTAGTTTTCAGTTTTGTGGAGACGCAAGAGCAGACTCACTGCCTCTGCCAAGCTTGTTGTAAAAGGCAACTTTTCTGTGGCGAAGGGGTCAAGCCATTTGCCTCGCGCTCTGAAGTTCATGTTTTCATTTCACGTTGTCCCCTTCAGTTCATGTGTGCAGTTTTTAACAGAGATTCTTGGGGATTGTTACTGGAGCTATGGAGTTTGTGCTCTCTGCAGTGCTTTTGACAGGCAGCTAGCCATTCTGTGGAGAGAGACCGAGCCATATGGGATAGACCTGGTGCAAGGAAGTCGATCCTCTCGACTTTAACTAATTTAGGGATTTGTTAAACTCAAATGTCTTGGGCTGCAAGGTGAAGATATCACAGCCTAGATGTAAACAAAATTTGCCAGCTGCGGGCAAATGCATGAGAAAAAGAAGTAGCTGATAAGGTCAGTGTATCTGAGAGGTTTCGGCGCCCACTTCAGGCTAAGAAGTTACCAGGTTTACTCTTGCCATAGAGCAGGTGATGTTTTCTCGACTCATTGATTTATAATGATAGCCACACTATCTTGTTATATTTTATGTTTATTTGACACATCAACCTGATGGCACACAAGTAGTAACCCATAAGTGCTCTGTTCTACTTCTAACTCAAGCCAGTGCACACACTACATTGCACCAGCAAGGATCCTGAAATACCTTGGGTATATTTTAAACTCCAGTGCAATTTTTCCAGTGCAGCGCTGTAAAGCTACTCTTGTCTTCTTCTTCTTTGTGTTCACTAGCTGTAAACTCTGGCAGAAAGTTCTGGTTGTTCATCCACTTTTGGACTGTAGTTCTGTTCCAGAACCTGAGTGTTGCATGTGCATCTGTTTTGACAGATCTGACTCATTTATGTGCACTGCTAGTTCCTTGCCTCTCAGGCAAATGCACTCCGACTTCGAAGGAAGCTTCCAATTAGTCGACTCTTACGACATGCTTTTGGGTAGGCAGGGGGTCTGTTTTTGTGTTCTCTATAATAGGGCCCCAGAACCCACATGGGGAGCTACTCTTTTCAATTTCCAACTGCCAGGGGATTTTTGTAACATACGCAAGAATACATGTAGGCGTTCGATCTTACTACCCAGAGACCAGGGGAAATAACTAAAAGTCTGCGAGAAAAAAAACCCAGCCTTCACAGGGCCATGAACCCGGGACCTCCAGCACTCGAGGCAGACACCATACCTCAAGACCACTTAGCTTCCCACTATCTTGTTATATCTTTAATGATGAAATTGCATGTCTTATCTGTTCAGATAAACATACAACGAGGAAGAATGGCCAGGAAGTTGGGATTTAATTGAAAGGCCTTAAAGCCAGAACTCTGAAAAAAGTGCTGAGAACCCATAATGATAAAACATACTTTGTACTCACTGGTTGCAAACTGCAGCAGCAAATTCTGGTTGTTTGTCCACTTCTGGACTTTGGTCTTGTACCAGAATTTGAGTTTTGCTTACACATCCATTATACAGATCTGGCTTTTGGTTCCTCGCTCCCCTAGGCAGATGCACTCTGTCTTCGAAGGAAATGCCCCTAATTAGTCATCTTTTACTGCATGCTTGTTAACGATGCAGTGGGTCTATTCTTTTTGCCCCCAAAATAGGGTCCATGAACCCACATGGGGAACTTAGTGTCTGATGTATTTCTTCACTGTTTTTATTTTTTAATACTGGCCTAAGCCATTAAAGGTTAGAAGTAGCCTTATAAACGATCACTGACTGTAAATTCTTCAATCCTTTTATTGTTTCCAGGGCCCTACTATAAAGAAAAGCAAGAGTAGACCTATTGCCTACCCACAAGCATGTCGTAAGAATTGACTAATTGGGAGTTTCCTTAAAAGTCAGAGTTCATCTGCCTGAGAGGCAACAAACCAACAGTCTGCATTCAAATGAGGCAGATCTGTAAAACCAATGTGCATGCAACACACTCGTTCTAGAACAAGACTAAAGTCTTGAGGTGGACGAATACTCAGAACTTACCACCAGAGTTTACAGCTGGTGAATGCGAAGAAGAAGAAATTCCACAAATCAGAAGACACAGATTCAACCCTACATCATCTGTCACACTCTTGACCAGCAAAAATACCTCACTTTTTCACCTCAGAGTGGTGGGTAACACACAGGAAAAATCCCAGGGTTCTATTTCCAGGCAGTGGGTCTGGTCTTTCCCCCCCAAAAAACGGGACTCTGAAATCCACACAAGGGTGATCGCTAATGGTGCTGATAAATGAAAACATATTGCAGTCAATAATTATTCTGTGAGTTACAGTGAAATGTCGGCTCTCTGGCTAAGTCGATGCGAACGCTTCGTAATGCCATGATGCCAGGTTCGATCCCAGCTGCGGGCCACGTGCCTTGCGTTGATTTCGACAGTGGTATCAAGAAAGCCGACCGTCCAGAAAGCAATGGCAAACTATTGGACATAAATTTGCCTAGAGAAACCACACAACAGCCAGGGGCTGTTAGGGTTGGTTCTGCAACTTCATGTATAGGATACGCAACTAACCTTACAGTGAAATAAATTAATGTAGAAATATTTTTGGGAACCACTCATTTACATAAGTGCAACCTGACTGGTCTGCTTAAGATGAGATTTATATAACGCAATGTGGTATCATGTAAGGCCATGAGGTCCTGGGTGGTTGGTTTCCTTTGCTAGTGTGTTGGGAAATGAGTGGGTGGATGGACTGGCTGGTTCTGCGCAGCGTGGGTGATGGGTTGTTGCATTACAGCTGAATGTTGTGGGGCCCTCTAGGGGCAGATGAGTGGTGAGGAGGTACAGATGGATGATTGTGGTCTATGAGTGGTGCTGCTGCGAGGGGTGGCCAGGAGATCTGATTGAGATCGGCACTCAAGGAAGGGGTGAGACGGATATACAATCAGACTGCTATAGGTATCATTGAAATTGGATCTAATTGAAGATAGGGATGGAGTGCTTATGGGAATGCCCTGAGTGCTGAGATGTCGATTGCTAATTAAACATTAAACATCAAACCATGAGAGAACTTCAGCATCTGGGACCTAGATGGCAAAACAAGCGACAAAAACTATTTATTTATAGCCAATTTTTTAAGACACATTGAAAAGACAATAAATTATTAAACATTTGAATTTAGAGAACATAAATACATGGGGTTTGCGGCTAGATGCGTGCCTGCGGATCGAAAGGTCATGGGTTCACGTCCTGACGGAGCCAGACTTTTAATAAAAATGACTTTGACTCCCAGGCCGAAACAGCCTTGAGTGGCTACCCGCTGCAGTTCTGGGAAGTAAAGGTGGCTGATGTGATGCTTACCACATCACCCACCAAGTGCTGATTGGTCTATAAAAATATAGATCTAGCCCTATATTCCCAATACACCTTAAGGCGGTAAAAAGGGTACTTTTACTTTACCTGGAGGCATCTGTACAAAGGGTGTTTTATGTCAGCAGCAACACTAGGTAAACCCTTGCCTAGGCCATCTTGTGTCTAGTGACCATGTCTGGCAGGTCGAGTATGTAGCAATGACATAAATAACTACTCAGTAACACTTACATAAGTAGCTACCATGGCGTAGTGGCTAGACGCTTAGCCTACTGAGCACAAGGCTTTAGGTTCGAATCAAAGCATTCTAGACCAGTGGTTCCCGACCTTTTTTTGCCATGCCTCACCTAAGCCTTTCTAAAATTGTTATGCCGCCTGTGTAACTTAAACTTCTGATAAATCATGATTATCATGTGCCCTGCCAACTGGCGTAGGCGCTCATGCGTCTCCACAGATCAGAATCCCTGGTCGCCTGGAACAGCTCTCTTGATGAAATCCCTTCTTGTCATTGTTTCAGCCCATCCAGCATCATCTCTCTTGGTCTGCCTCTACCCTTTTTTCCACTGATCTTTCCAGTTGTCACGATGTTCTCCAATGTCTCTCTTCTCATTATGTGGCCAAAGAATAGTGTTTATCTCTTTCTTATTGTTTTGTGTAGAGATCTACTTTCATTAGCTTTTTTCAAGCAATTGTTGTTAGTTACCCTGGCCGTACAAGGTTTTCTTAACATTCATTTAAGAAACCACATCTCTGTTGCTTCCAAATTCTTCCTGATTTGTTCACTGACTTTTCAAGATTCCCTGCCATACAGCAGAACTGGCTTTATGTAACATTTTTTTTCCTTTCTGACATTCAGTGAGAGCGATTTATTGCGTTAGAAATTTTTCATTTTCTGAAATGCAGCTTTCACTTGACCTATTCTGCTTTTGATCTCTGTCACACATTTTCCATCTGATGATTTGATTGTTCCCAGATATTTCAATTTATTGACCTGGTTAAGTCTTTTTCTTTCAATTGAGATATCACAATGTGAAGTTATCTTCTTCTTTGATATAACCATTACTTCCTTGTTTAAAAAATGTTAAAAGAAAGTCCTTTCTTAGCACTCTCCATCCCCACAAAATCCAGCAGTTGTAAATTAGTTGCATTTTCAGCTATCAAAACTGTAGTGCCTGCATAATGAAAATTGTCTATATTGTATCCTCCAACTCTTACTCCTGCATTCTCTTTAATTTTCCTTAAAATTATTTCACTATATAGAAAGAAAAGGTCTGGGGATTGTCTTACTCCTTGCTTTATCTGTTCAATCTGATGAATCAGTTTTACAATTGCAATCTTTACAATCAAATGAGGCACAAATAGATCATTATGGTCTGAGGACAATGGTGCTGCTGGGAGTTACCAGGGGATATATCCAACACTCAAGGAAAAGGCGAGATGGATGTAAAGTCAAACAGTTACTGGTACCATCGAATTAGAACTCTTCGCTTGTTGCTGAAAATGGAGGACGGTGCGCTTATAGAAGTGTCCCGAGTGCTGTGATGTCAATTCTTAATTCAGCATACAACATTTCCCCTCCTAGCAGTCATTTTGCCCCCCCCCCCCCCTCCTAGGTTGGGAAACACTGCTCTAGAGCATGTTCTTTAGGAATGCCCAGACTTTCCCAGTCAGGGAGAAGTTATCCAGCCCACAAGAGCATTGACACAAGATTAATTGCGGTGCACTGATGGAGACTTCAAGTGGGTTTTGATTCTCATTCCCAAGTAATGTCCTTTGGAAGTAAAGGTGATGGACATGATGTGACCACATCATCCATCAACTGCAGATTGGTCTATAAAATAAGGAGTCTACCAGCATGTGCCAAGGGCCAAACAAGAGTTCTTTACTTCACTTACATAAGGCACACATCATCATCATTCAGCAGGTCCTCTAAAGAACATCACTTTTGTCCCGGCACGCCTGAAGTCTTTCTTTCTCTAATGTAGGCCAATTTGCTTTTATAGCCAGTGCATCTTCAGTATCCTGTATCCACCTCTGCCTCATTTTCCTCTGTAACAGTTCTCTCCAGGCCACCGTGACATTAAACATGGCTGAAATAGCTTTTGGGACAGGATGCTGTTTATGAGCCAATTCTCCTTGATGCTCAGATCATGTCAGATGTTTTTTGTTTTTCTTTTTCTTGGTCCATCGTATTAAAAGAAGTTTTCTGTAGCATTTCAGTTCAAAAACTTTGAACGGCATGCTTGTTAGACCAGAAATGTGATATGAAGATATTTTATTGCCACATTCAGAAAGAAGTACGAAAGGAGAACCATGAGTTTGCCGAGATCTTACTGAACTATTTCCGAGCGAGGCACAAGTTTCAAAGTGCAGAGGAGGACATCAAGACTCTGCAGAAAGATTACTCAGCCTTGCAGAAGGAAGTGTGGATCACTCACATCAAATCCATTACTATTCAGGTACTTGTTTGTTTCATTAATTTTTGTGCTTGGTAGTTTTTATGTTTAAAAAAAAAAAATAGTATAGCTGTTTTAGATTCTTTATTGAAATCCTACCCCGGATAACGTCACAGGACAGTCCAACATTTCAGAGGGTGGTAAGACTGTGTTTCGCAGCTTTCCAATGCTTTTAACATCCCCAAAACATCGAGAACTGGCCCTAACCCCAACCCACCTACGTCCCACGAGAGAGTGCAGTCTAGGTCCCACGACTGCATGCAGCCTATCTACCACCCTCTAAAATATTAAACTGTCCTGTGATCTTTGGATTTTCCCTGTTTGGGGTAGGATATTAATAAAGCACACTGTTTTCTGCAGTATGCTTTGCTCCAAATGTATTGATGTTAACCTTTCCTTTGGAGATAATAAGGCAGTCTGAGGGAGGGATCATGCTGCAAAGCAAATATAGTTCTCTACAGCAGAGGTTCTCAAACTGGGTGCTGCGTGTGCAATAAGTGCCTCAGCAATAATCAAGAATTTTTCCGAATCTGCTTGAGATCAGCGAGGACAGCAGTTTAAAACAGAAATACCATGAAGGAAGCCAAGAAGAGTTTGGATACAGGTGTATTCAGGAGACAATGCTGTTGGCTAGGCTGCAGTGCATTCTCAATGTATGCTTACATAATAAACAGATACAGGAGCAGACTTTCTGGGTCACGTGATTTGAGGGTAAGATTAACTAAACTTTTCATAAACATAAAGGAAAAAATTGAAAATCCACCCAGTTTCATTCATCACATTAAAGACAAATGAACTTTAAGTCTGCACTGTTTTTCTTCTTTTCCTAAATATTCAAACCGCTTTAAGTGTAGGTGTAGGTGTGCGGAAAAAAGTTTTTTGCCTGCTACACAGGGTGCCAGGATTTGTATTATGGAGAGAAGATTCAGAAATTTTATGCACTTATTGTGGAACATTATTTTGTTTACACTAATTAATCTTGTTAATCACATTCACTACTGCCGTTTGCTGTGACTTGTAGCTCAGTGGTACACTGTCCCCTGGAAAGATACAAATGAACCAAAGCTGTCCAGTCAACCATAGATTTATCCACGCTATCATGTTACTATCCACACATTAATGTAGATTATCCACACAACCGTATATTCATCCATGCTATAATTTAACTATCCCCACATTAATGTAGAATATCCACACTGTATATTCATCCATGTTGCCATGTAACTATCCACACATTAATGTAGATTATCCTCACAACCATATATCTATCCATGCTATCATGTAACTATCCACACATTAATGTAGATCATCCACACAACCATATATCCTTCCATGCTATCATGTAACTATCCACCGATTAATGTAGATTATCCTCACAACCATATATCTATCCATGCTATCATGTACTATACACAAATTGATGTAAATTATCCACACAGTCATGCATCCATCCATGCTGTCCTGTAACTGTTCACACAAACATGTACCCTTCCACACAACCATATAGCCATCCACACAACCATGTAGCCATCCACACAACCATGTAGCCATCCACACAACCATGTAGCCATCCACACAACCATGTAGCCATCCACACAACCATATAGCCATCCACACACCATAGCCATCCACACAACCATGTAGCCATCCACACAACCATATAGCCATCCACACAACCATATAGCCATCCACACAACCGTGCAGCCATCCACACAACCATATAGCCTTCCACACAACCATATAGCCATCCACACAACCATATAGCCATCCACACAACCATATAGCCATCCACACAACCGTGCAGCCATCCACACAACCATGTAGCCATCCACGCAACCGTGCAGCCATCCACATGACCATGCAGCCATCCACACCATCATGTAACCATACATACAATTATGCAACCATCCACACAACCAGGTACAAGGGGGCTGCATTAGAGCAGTTAGTGGGAGACTTGCTTTCAAATCCAGCTGCGACTTGCTGCGGCCCACAGTTGGTGGTCAAAACCGGGTTGTTCCTGGAGTTCACCCAGCCTCTAGGTAATAGGTACCAGAGTTAACACTCGTGAGGACGGTGACACAGGCGGACAGTTTCTTATCAGTTTCTTGTCCATACTGGTGGCAGAACCCTTATGGTTTATAACCATCCATGTGCAATGACGCTGGTTCACATCTCCCAACTTTACCTTTACAATCAGATACATATCCACACAACCGTGTAGCTATTCACACAGCCAGGTACAGGCTGCCAGAAAGTTGACCAACACAGTACTGGTGGTGTTGTCATTTGCCATACGCTGAGTGGGATAATGAAGATGTGATCCAAGTACTTGGGGGGGGGGGGGAGAGGGGGCTGCATGTTCTCAGGGCATGGTGTCTGCCTCAAGTGCTAAAGGTTCCGGGTTCAATCCCCGGTAAGGGCTGGAATTTTTTTCACATGGACTTGGACTTCTAGTAATTCCCCCTGGTCTCTGGGTAGTGTGCGTTGTTGCGCACGTAAAAAATTCCTTGGCAGTTGGAAATAAAAAAGAGTAGCCTAACGGTGCTGTCCAGGCACAATTTGCAGTTAAAAATCTACCCAAAGTATTTCAGAATCCTCGTTGGTGCTATAGAGCCTCTGCACTGTGCTGAGCTTCTTCGGACTCAGTCTTGAGTTAGAAGAACTGAGCACTTATGGGTTACTACCTGTGCACCATGATGTTATTCCGTTGTTCAAACTTCCAAGACTTAGGGACTTATTTGATGTGCCGTGAGGATGACTGGCAGATTAACTGACTAACTAGTAAGTAGCCGTACTCATAATTATATGGCTACCCACACAACCACATAGCTATCCACACAACCACATAGCTATCATCAGCACAACCGCATATCTATCCACACAATCACTTAGCTTTCCACACAACCACATACCTATCCACAAAGCTGTCCACACAGCCACTTAGGTATTAGCACAACAACATAGCTGTCCACACAGATATATAGATATAAGCACAACCACATAGCTATCCACACAACCACATATGTATCCGCCGAACCAAATAGCTGCCCATACAGCCATATAGGTATCCACACAACCACATAGATATCCACAACTGTTTACCCACACAACCACATAGCTGCCGTGCACAACCACATAGCTATCCACACAACCGCATAGCTATCCACACAACCACCTAGCTGTTCACACAACCACCTAGCTGTTCACACAAACACATAGCTGTCCACACAACCCTATAGCTGTTCACACAACCACACAGCTATCCACACTACCATGCAACCATCTGTTCATCCATGCAATCCTGCACCAAGCTATCCATATAATCATTAAGGAGGTCTTAGCCCCGGAAAATCCAAGCAGAACACTTTTATACAAAACATAGAAGACCATTGACTCTTACTTCTCCAGAAACCCTGTTAAAACAGAAGAATCACCAAAAAAAAACTGGTTCGTTACGCTTATTTGGATGCCTCTATTTCAGGGACAGTGCAGTGACCAGGTGAAAGTTCATAAGGCTCACACCTACGAGCAGTGTGAGTTAAACGCAGATGCGGTGGCAAAGGTGAATTCTGTGCTGGACAACATCCGCAAGCACATCGCAGAAACTCTCTCCTTGTATGCTTACTCTGCGCAGATGTCAAAGTAAGTGGGAGGTATCAATGTTTGAGTGAAGTTTCATAGTTGAATATTCTATTTCTATTCTATTCTTCTTCTTTACCTTGTTCACTGGTTGTAAATTCTAGTGGAAAGTTATGGATGTTCATCCACTTCTGGACTTTAGTCTTGTTCCAGAACCTGAGTTTTGCATGCACGTCCGTTTTACAGATCTGACTTTTTAGTTTTCTTAGGCAGATGCACTCCGACTCCGAAGGAAATTTCCCTAATAAGTCGATTCTTATGACATACTTGGCAGGGGGCTGGTTATTCCCCCCCCCCCCCCACAGGGGGGCCCAGGAAATCGAGGATGGCAGAGCCTTAAGGACGTCATCTATGGTGAATTAAAGGCGGTTAGAAGATGTTGAGGCTGACCTCTACTGTGATATAAAGATGTGTGCAAGTGGGATGTGAATGATACAGGTTTTGAGGTAGATTCGTCAGAACAAAATGCCATGGACCATGTTGTGTGGAGAGGGCACATCAGGAAGATAATGAGAATAAAGGAAGAAATGATTGCAGAAAAGATGATAGGTGAGTGTCTGAGAAGGAATGGACTTAAACACAAATGTTGACAACAGTGGTCCTTAAATCCGATTCTATGATTGTGAAGGACTTTTCTTGGGCGGATCTTGCTAGTCATCCTCACCATCACCATGGGCTGCGAGTCTTGTGCCTCCTTATAGTGCAGTATAACACTATCTTCTGGAACTGATAACCATTAGCCCAGGATTGCTTCAAGGTTCTCAGCTGTCTCCAGTGCTATGCAACGTGTACACAGTGCAGATAACTGGGCAGCAGTTGCACAGGAGTGGCAGGACCTTGTCATTTGCTGATGACCTCTTAGTATATCGACATGGAAGAGATCGTCAAGAGATTGCCACACACATGTGGTGATCTTCACAGGCAGGTCCAATATACGAGGACATAAGAGTGAATGGGCATTTACATCTCGCTCTTCAGGCAGAACAGTTCAAGAAGCCAGCGGTGCCTTCTCCATGACCACCAGCAGCATGACGATGGAAGTGATGGCCGTGACACAAGCTTTCATGTGGCTAGAATTACAGGACTATTCCCACATGTGTGTGCTGAGTGACACTTTGAGCACGATCCAGCGGGTCGAGGCAGGCTGGTTACGCAGACAGTGGTTTGAGTCATTGCAAAACTCTCCTGTGGGTGCAGTTACCTTTATTTCCGTCCCAGGGTATCCAGGCGTTGTTGATAATGAAAGAGCTGATAGACTGGCAGGTGCTGCATCAATTGAAGATGGCTAGCCCATGAATCATGCAGACATTATCATTGCCTTTAAAGAGATAGGATGATCTGAGGATTTCGGAAGCAATGTGTCCACATCACTGCTAAGAATATGCGAATTGGGAGTAGAGATCGGCACAGCCAAGCATGAGAAGAACACCGGACGCACACAAAGTCTTGTTAACCAACATAGGACTGGCACTATAAACCGCACGACGCTGATGAATATGTTGAGAGGGGAATCTGTGTGCCTATGGATGTGTCCGGAGTTCTGTGAAGATAATCTAACTCGAAACTTATAACTCTAACTCATAACTCGTCTGGAACGACGGAAAGATGCCAATCATCTGGTAAATTATTTCCTAGAACATCAAAGAATCAAATGATATGGTCATCTGGTCAGAATGGAAAAAGGTCAGCCAGCGGCTAGAGCGTACTACATGAGAACAGCAGGCTATAGTCAAGAGGCTGACCAAGAAAGAGATGGCTTGATGGAGTATAATACTACAGAAATGCAATATGGCGTTAATCCAAGCTATACAACTAGCAAAAGACAGGAAACTTCATATAACTCTTCTCTACAATACTTAACAACATAAGCAGTGGGACAGAAGAAGAAGAAGAAGAAGATATACCTGAATGATAAATAAGCAGTTGAGAAAGCTGGTGTGGATTTTTGTCTCCTTCTTCTGAAGGAAATATCCTGGAAACTAAAAGTGGTTGACATAATGCTGAAAACACCATTTATGGAGTCCTGATTCATTTTTTTTTTTTAATTAGTGTTTTTACTACATGCCCAGTGCTCCCCTTGGTGGTTCTGAGGTCTCATTGTGGGGAAAACAAGAATAGACCCACTGACTCTCCAAAAGCTTGCCGCAAGAGTTGACTAATTTGGAGCTTCCTTGGTGGTTCTGAGGTCTCATTGTGGGGAAAACAAGAATAGACCCACTGACTCTCCAAAAGCTTGCCGCAAGAGTTGACTAATTTGGAGCTTCCTTGGTGGTTCTGAGGTCTCATTGTGGGGAAAACAAGAGTAGACCCACTGACTCTCCAAAAGCTTGCCGCAAGAGTTGACTAATTTGGAGCTTCCTTGGTGGTTCTGAGGTCTCATTGTGGGGAAAACAAGAGTAGACCCACTGACTCTCCAAAAGCTTGCCGCAAGAGTTGACTAATTTGGAGCTTCCTTGGTGGTTCTGAGGTCTCATTGTGGGGAAAACAAGAGTAGACCCACTGACTCTCCAAAAGCTTGCCGCAAGAGTTGACTAATTTGGAGCTTCCTTGGTGGTTCTGAGGTCTCATTGTGGGGAAAACAAGAGTAGACCCACTGACTCTCCAAAAGCTTGCCGCAAGAGTTGACTAATTTGGAGCTTCCTTGGTGGTTCTGAGGTCTCATTGTGGGGAAAACAAGAGTAGACCCACTGACTCTCCAAAAGCTTGCCGCAAGAGTTGACTAATTTGGAGCTTCCTTGGTGGTTCTGAGGTCTCATTGTGGGGAAAACAAGAGTAGACCCACTGACTCTCCAAAAGCTTGCCGCAAGAGTTGACTAATTTGGAGCTTCCTTCAAAGTGCATCTGCCTGTGAGGCAAGAAACCAACAGCTGCATATAAATGAGTCAGATATGTGATGCTGTTAATGTTATCTCTGATGAGAGCAACGTTCTGCAAAGTACCTGCTAAATGATGATCTCTCTCTCTTTCTCTCTCTGGCGCTGTCTCTCTCTTACACATACACACAGACACACAAATGCATACACACAGTGCACGCGGGCGGAGAGAGGGAGAGAGATTTAAGATTATTTCACATTCCTATGGCAGCACTTGCCACTTGATTACAAATCTTCTTTTTGCTGTCCAGATTACAGGTGGAGTCGTACATCTTTGATCTCTACATGAGCTGTCCTGTGCTGCGAGACATTCCCAAAAATGCTGACATTAAGGGCAAGTGATAGTCATTTTTTTTTTACCCTACTCTTCGATCTGAGTCTTGATGTGAACCATAGACCATGTACCTTAATTCTTAGGTGACTGTTAACGCTGAAAATCTGGATTATTACAAGTACCAATAAATTCAATTTCAAAATTGCATGAAGCCCTACCCCCCCCTCCCCCCCGAAACTTCTGCATGATGGTGGGGAGGGGGGGGGGCGCCTGTGGTTGGAGACAGTTCTAGAGGCAGTGACTTTTTATGCACCACATGGCTATAAGTCAACTCAGCCTTTAGATCAGTTGAGACTTGAAGTGGAGCATCTGTAATAAACTGCTTGCCCAAGATTAGAAGAGCCAACACTATGAATCTTTTTTCTCAGCAGTCTCTAGTCAGTTGGATGTCAGCTCAATGTCTCTTGGGTCTCCCCAAAGCTTAGTTGTCACGTTTACTGGGTGTAGCCACATGTTGCTTTGCAGCTTCTCTAGGAGAGGCAAGGCATGTTCTGGAGTCTGTTCTGCATAGAGATACTGGCAGAGTGCTGTCTGGCTCAAACCTATGTATAAATTTTTAGGTTTTATTTGTTAATCTTTTTTTTTTAGTTTTGTGGCTGCAGTGTCAAGTGTGCAAGCGAACAATTGTGACTTTGTTGTGTTTTGTTCCGTTGGTCAAGGAAATCTTGTTGACATGTGTATCCTATGTAACATTGTGAATCATCATGTAGCAGGTCCTTTGCAGAGTGTCGTGGTCATCACTGTCTGTCTGAAAGAAACTCGGTCAATCACTAGCTCTCAAACTTCCTGTACTTTCATATTCAAGGAGTCATTTATATCCTGTGTCCATCTTCATGTTGGTCAACCTCTGCCCCTTCTTCCTAGTACCATGCTTTCTGCTATTATTTTATTCTTTCTATAGCATTTCAGCTCAAAAACCCCTATTTTCTTTCATAAGACTGGGAGTAGTCCATGACTCACATCTGTGTTGCTACAGGAAAAATGGATGCTCTCAAAACTTTTAATGGTGCTTTTCTTGTTGGTGCTTAACTATACACTTTTAGTGCTGTTTAATTTTTGCATTGCTATGGCCATCCTTCTTTTCATTTCTATCAAAGAGTTTCCATTGCTATTTATTATAGAGCCTAGATTTTCAAAATTTGTGACATTGTCAATTTCTTCATCCACTATTGTTATTTTTGAGCGACAGTCAGTTGTTGAATTCTAGATGGATACTATCTTGTACCACACAGGCCGTCAGCAGGTGTTACCTGATGAGCAGCACCAGATCCAGCGCCTCAAAGATTGCATCAGCATCCTCTTCATGTTCCACCGCAAGCCTACCAGCGACACTGAGTTTGTCAACAATATCAGGCAATGGACAACAAGATTGGTCAGTCTGTGATTTCATTGCTGTTGTCTGTCCCTCATATCTAGACAGGATATTGTCTTTAATCTTAACTAGACTGGTCAGTCTGTGAACTCATTGCTGTTGTCTGTTAATCATATCTAGACAGGATATTGTCAATTCCCTTAATTAAGTTGGTCAGCCTGTGATCTTATTGCTGTTTGTCACTCATATCTAGACAGGATATTGTCTATCCTCTTAACTTGACTGGTTAGTCTGTGATCACATTGCTGTTGTCTGTCCCTCATATCTAGACAGGATATTGTCTATAATCTTAACTAGACTGGTCAGTCTGTGAACTCATTGTTGTTGTCTATTACTCATATCAGGACAGCATATTGTCAATTCCCTTAACTAGACTGGTCAGCCTGTGATCTCATTGCTGTTGTCTGTTACTCATATCTAGACAGGATATTGTCAATTCCCTTAATTAGGCTGGTCAGTCTGTGAACTTTTTGCTGTTTGTCACTCATATCTACACAGGATATTGTCTATTTTGACAGTGTTTAATCCTTTTACCCTGAGAAGTCTAAACCAAGTCACTTCTATTTGTGCTGTGTCCCCATAAATGCCTATTTATGGCCATATCTGTAGTGGCCTAGTCTCTGAAAGTGCAGTTAAATTTCATTGGTTCAGTATGCACCTGTGAAACATTTAATAGGCCTGGATATGAATATTGTAACTAAAAATAGCATTTAGGAGTGCTTCCCTCTGACCCCAGCAGTTTTTTTTTTTTAAAGCCGAGTTAGTGTCAGATTTTCCATAAGCCTCAGTGATAGAGGTCACAGGGTCACAGTATGAGCCATCCTATATATTTTGTTTCCTGTTAAATTTGTTGCTTCACTATGTTTGTGTTTATAGATCACCCTTTTATATATCTTTATGTATTTCAAAGTTAAAAAAAAAATATATATACATACATAAATTACCCAAAAAATGTATTCGTGACCTGTGCAGTATCAGTTGAAATAAAAAATAAAAATTTGATTTAAAAAGAAGGGAAAAAAGGAAAAGCAAAGAAAAAGATTTGTTCCAGAAATTCCTATTTTTCATGACCCATTTTTTCCCAAGCATTCACAGGGTGAAAGGGTTAAAAAAGCAGCAACAAGAAGCTTCATCTCTTATACATTTGTTTTCAGGTGTCCTCACTCTTACGTTTGGCAACATTTAGAGACCATCTCTTTATCCTCAACCATCTGTTGAGATGCCCAGCTGGCATTGGCAAGTGGGCAGCAGATCTGGTCCAGTTTCCATCCCTCTCGTCCAGTCTTTCACAGCATCAGTCCAATTTTGGCGGTCCAGTGTTAGATCACATTGTGACAGCAATGGCCACAGTTCTTTTGCCAACAAAGTAAGTCTGTATTGATTGTTGTTGTTTTCCACAAGTGAGTTCTCAAGCCCCATTTTGAGAGGAAAAAGAATAGACCCACTGCCTCTCTATCTCTAACAAGCATGTTGTACAAGGCGGTTTATTAGGGGAGTTTTCTTTGAAGTCGAAGCGCATATGCCTGAGAGGCAAGGAACCAGAAACCTGTATGAAAATATCCCAGGTCTGAAAAACAAATGTGCACTCAAAACTCAAGTTCTGAAACATGACCAAAGTCCAGAATTATTTTTTTGTTATTTAAAGCCCCACCCTGGCTTTTGCTGCGGGCCCATAAATATGGCCTAGACCATAGACATGGCCAACGGCTGAAAGGGGTTTCTAGGACCCCTCACGGGTGATCCTCATCCACATGGTGGCACTTTGTGTCACCGGGTGTTTGACGCTTGTGTGATGTCCTGGTGGGGTACAACTACCTACCAAAGTCCAGAAGTGGACAAACAACGAGAACTTTCAGCCTGGGTTTACAGCCGGTGAATGCTAAGAAGAATAAGAATGGTGTTGCAGTTTTTGAACACAGGATTGTTAACAAATTTAAACACACAAAGCCTTTTGATGTCTTTCTTTTCACCCTCATCTCTCCTCTCCTGCTTTTACTTCTTCCTTTACTCCTCCTCCTTCTAAATTCTTTCTTCTTCCTCACCTTTCATGTCCCCTTCAAACTTGTTAATTTTCATATTTTACCTTCATTTTCTCTGCTAAATCCCATCTGTCTTCCTTCTCCTAGCCTGCTGCAACTTCCTTTTCTCCACTTCCTCCTTTCCTCCTTCTACTTCTCATCATGCTTTCCCCTCATCCTACTTTCTCTACCTTCTACTTCTATGCTTTCTTCTTCTTCCCCACCTTCTTCCTCATGCTGCTTCTCGCTCTTATTCTCCCCTTTATTTCTTCTCCTACAGGATCTTCTTACTCTTCTTCTTTTTCTTCTTCTCAACTCCATCAGTATTTATTATTTCTCTTGTTCCTTTTTACCTCCTTCTTACAGTCCTCTTAATTATTCTTTTTCTTGTACTTCTACTTCTCCTTCTTCATTGTCATCTCTTCAAGAATTTCATCTTGAATCAGAACACATTAAATCAAATCATTTATGGACATGTAATGTACTCATTAACTGGTGCCTGAGCAGAATAGAGGGAATTAAATGGTATGATAGAATCACTAATGTAGAGCTTTGGGAAATAACTAAGAGAGCTCCAGTGGATCAAGAGGTCAAGAAAAGACACTGGCGTTGGATAGGACACACATTAAGAAAACCGGAAAACAATATTACTAGAATGTCTTTGCATTGGAACCCACAGGGGCATAGGAATAAAGGAAGGCCCCCCCAAAAAAACATGGAGAAGGGAGCTGGAGAATGAAGTTAGAAAGATGGAAAGGACATGGGGAGAGCTGCATGCAATAGCAACGGACAGAACGGCTTGGCTTGAGTTGGTTGAGGGCCTATGCTCCATGGGAAAGGCAGAAGAAAAAGAAGATTGTACTCATTCAAAGCTATAAAGCTGCAGATGAAATACTCCATGTGTCCCAAATTGTTTTGTTTGTCTAGGGCACGGGAAGAGTTCATGTGCCATATGCGTGTCAACCTGACAGAGCAGAGTATGCAGGAGGACAAGGCATGGATACTTGTGGACTCTGACGGGGAAGAGGTTAGTCATTATTTTTACTAGTACTGGGTAATATTATTAACCCTTTCACAACGAGAAGCTGAAAAACTGATAATTCGGTTGGGTCCAGGTCCCCATACATGTCACTTTTCCGACTTGCCTATAGGACCTGTTTACCAGACACATAATTAATGCTGTTGGCTGAGTTCCTGCCTGTGTGGATGTTTACTAGGTCAGACTATGAATATATTAATTTAAAATAGCATTTAGGGTGTTTTACCTTGAGCTAACTGTTTTTTTTAAAGCCAGGTTGTTGTCAGATTTTTTCGTTTAACCTCAATGATAGAGGTCATAATGAGTCACCTGATGCATGTTTTTTTTTTAGTCCTTAGGGCATGTATTCCATTTAATGTTTCACTGTATTAGTGTTTATTGATACCACTTTTGGGGCCCTCTCATAGAGAAAACAAGAATAAACCCACTGCCTACCCAATTGAGAGCTTCCTTCAAAGTCAGAGGGCATCTGCCAGAGAGGCAATGAACCAGCAGTCTGCATACAAATGAGTCAGATCTGTAAAACGGATGCACACGCAACACTCAGGTGTCAGTTGTGACAGATCAGTTGATAAACGAGTGATGACCAAGGACAGCCACGAAATAACACAGTTGTTGGAACATCAATAAACAGTTTCCTTGTCAATCCTAGTGTCATCGCAGTGTATGTTTCTCTACTAACTTGACCTGTTGGGAGAGGGGAAACTAAAGTTGATGTTGGTCAAGAAAAAAAAAAGCCAAAGAGACATGTTATACTGTGCCAGATTTCTGTGGTACGTTCAGACCAAAAATGTACCATATGTTAATTCAAACTGCATGTGTAAGTCAGCAGCTTATCTTACATGGCACATTGTTTGGGATGGAAAGAGTTCAGAAAATGACTGTAATTCTGTTGTTTAATTGTTTAGAGAAATTGTTTGATGCTTTCAGGATGAGGATCCTACAAATTCCTGGCTGTATCTTCACGAGAATGATATTGTAGCTTTCCTTGGACAGTTCCCGCTGGCGGATATTTTCTCCCATGTTCTGTTGATGTCCATGTCAGAGACAGGTAATAGAATGATTCTTTGTTTTTTCTTCGAAATTTTAGAAAATAGCATAACTTATCTTCTTCTTTTACCTTCTTTCCACCAGTGAATGCCACTCACGAAAGTACAGGAAAGAAGATGATTGCTGTTGACTTATTATTAGCATTATAGATCTGAAGTGGTGTCAGTTGTGTCATATTAGTTGATAAACGAGTGATGACCAAAGACAGCGATGAAATGACACAGTTGAAACATCAGTAAACAGTTAACAAATGTAAAAAAAAAAATTTTTTTTTAATTTTCTGTTTGTGTGATATTTGCAGGAAGTGTTGATTACGAAATCCGACGGAGTACAGAACCAATGATGATTCATCTGTTTGCCTTTGCAACCATGTTGATCCAGCTGTTAGGGAGTGGATTGGCAACATACAACATGGCCCGTTATAGACAGCTCAACAAACGCTTGGGGCGACTGATTAGGTGAGTTGGAGAAAAAAGCTGTCACTTTGTGAGGAAAAAAACACTGTCACTTTGTGAGAACAAAGCTGCCACTCTGTGAGATAAAAAGCTGCCACTCTCTGAGGTAAAAAGCTGCCACTCTCTGAGGTAAAAAGCTGCCACTCTCTGAGGTAAAAAGCTGCCACTCAGTGAGATAAAAAGCTGCCACTCAGTGAGATAAAAAGCTGCCACTCTCTGAGATAAAAAGCTGCCACTCGCTGAGATAAAAAGCTGCCACTCAGTGAGATAAAAAGCTGCCACTCTGTGAGATAAAAAGCTGCCACTCTGTGAGATAAAAAGCTGCCACTGTGAGATAAAAAGCTGCCACTGTGAGAAAAAAGCTGCCACTCTCTGAGATAAAAAGCTGCCACTCTCTGAGATAAAAAGCTGCCACTCTCTGAGATAAAAAGCTGTCACTTTGTGAGATAAAAAGCTGCCACTGTGAGATAAAAAGCTGCCACTCTCTGAGAAAAAAAAAAGCTGCCACTTTGTGAGATAAACAGCTGCCACTCTGTGAGTTAAAAAGCTGCCACTCTGTGAGATAAAAAGCTGCCAGTGTGTGAGATATCAGATATCTGTGGTCTTTTTAACCATCATTGGTACTACGAGTTTTAGTTTGCATTTACTTGGCACCTTTCCATTTTTCCTGATGATAGAATTATATTGTCCTCTAGGAAGGCATCTTAATATACTATTCTTACCAACAAGGACACTGTCTCCAGAATACTAAAATATCATGATACCGTGCCAGGTGAAATAAGGAAAGATTGACTTGGGAACGATGATATCATGAGGAGCGCCAGCACAGAACCAATACTGAACTTTAGAGGCAGACAACAAATCAAATGGTTTGTCCATGTAACAAGATTGACATCAGACAGGAAACCACAGAGAGCAATATTATACAGATACAGCGGTAACAGAGCCAGAGGTCAAGCATGCAGAAAATGGACTGCAGAAATATCAGAGACACAGAAAAGTACTTTATGCAAAGCGAACAGAAGGGCCTGTTCCAGAGATCTCATCCTGCCTTGACACTGTAAGGCGTTCCAGGAGCAGAGAAAAGAAGAAGAAGAAATCAGCCCCCCCCTCCCCCCTCCCCCTTTTCTAAAGCACAAATCCTGGGCAGTATTGTAGAGAACCTGCTGTCCACGCAGCATATATCTGTCCGTCTGTCTGTCCGTCTGTCTGTCCGTCCGTCCGTCCGCCTGCCTGCCTTGTAAACTCTGAAAAAAGGTAACACCAATATGTTGTTTGTGTTTATTATTTTAGTTTTATTTGTTCACAGTGGGAAACATGTTGGTGCATCAGCTAGACACTCACCTGCAGTTCTGAAGGTTGTGGGTTCAGATCCAAAAGGAACCAGCCTTTTTCTTTCTTTTTTTTCAAAAATGATCTAGGCGCCCAGGTCAGCTCAGCCTTGAATGGGTACAGGTCAAGACCTGGCCAGGATGATGTTGACCCCATCACCCACCCAGTGTGATTGACCTAACAAATATAGATCTAGCCCTTCTTCTCTGTGTTCACCAGCTGTAAACTCTGGCAGAAAGTTCTGGTTGTTCATGCACTTTTGGACTGAAGTCTGTTTCAGATCCTGAGTGTTGCGCGAGCATCCGTTTTACACATCTGAGTCAGTTGTATGGTACTGCTGGTTTCTTGCCTCTCAGGCAGATGCATTCCGACTTCGAAGGACGCTCCTAGTTAGTCGACTCTTACGATATGCTTTTGGGTAGGCAGTGGGTCTATTTTTTCCCCCCTATAATAGGGGTCCGGAATTCACACGGGGGAGATCTAGCCCTGTATGCCCAGTATGCTTGAAGGCGTAGGAAAAGGGTCCTTTTATTTGTTCATGAAGTGTTATTTATATTTAATGTGCGGCACATTTCTGTACACAGACAGGCTGTATCATTCGTATCTGACCACTGGCTGAACTTCAAGACCTACTATGGTCCTCTGGCATCAGCAGCAAGCATTGAAGGTCTTCAGATGGAGTTTGATCAGCTGTTTATGCGGGCCACTTATAGCATCCTCAGTGCTCAGAAGTAAGATGTCATTTTTGTTATTTCATTCTTCTGTCTTGTTGAAGCGACTTAAAAGTAAAATGCAATTTCTGTTGTATAATTCATCCTTGTTTCATTAGTTTCATTTGAAAACTAGTGAAGAACTTGCCAGGCCCAGCAAAATCTTGAAGCTCGGTTATGCAAAGTAAAAATGCATCAGACAGCCGTCAGATGTGCCGACACCAACTGTCATACACAAGATCTGCAGCTTTTTGTTGGCACAAAATTGGTGTGTTGGGCGCAAAAGTTGGGCATTGTTATCCTAAAAGTACATGCCATTTTGAATGTAATCAGCCACCCGCCATTTTAGCGCAGTCAACAATATGCCATGTTCACACATAAAAAATAAAGATATTCCAGTTGAAAACCACAGCTCTCAGTGTCACACCAAGCATTATTAGCCATTTTAGCCAGAAGTCATCAAGTCTATGCCACAGTTAAAAAGAATGGATGGGGTTTCAATGTGAAGGAGATTGGAGGTTGTTTAAAAAAAGAGAGAGCCTCACATATACCGTCACAATGTCTAGCATGAGAGTTTTTTTTGTGTTTTTGAACAACGGATCAACATCATGGCACACGGGTAGTAACCCATAAGTGCTTCGTTCTTCTTCTAACTCGAATCTGAGTCCGAAGATGCTCAGCACAGTGCACAGGCTCTGTAGCACTGGCGAGGATCCTGAAATATTTTAGGTAGATTTTTAACTCTAAAAACTGCCCCAAATTTTGTCTAGCATGAGAATGGAGGTGAAGCAGTAACGGTAGCTTTCCGCTGGTTGGAGAGTAGTCAAACATGACATGCTGTCATTATAACAGCCTCGCATAGCATGCTTTGGAATACAGAAACAGGTATCTTGTGCTCAGAGTATCTTGCATTGCTTTGTAAGACTCAGATCAGAAGAATATTGTGAATTTTTGTGGGGCCCGGGACATTTGGGTTTGCATGTCAATAAGCAGACTGATAGACTCGCTGCTTCTGCCCCTCTGGGCAGTGGGCTACATTGTGATGAAGTGGAGGTGGTGAATGCTGTTTGGTATCTAGTAAACAGTGCAACAGAACTGACTGAGCATCCTGTATCTGGAGATAAGGAATCGGCTAGGATCGAACAGAAGGTTTGGACGACTTTCTGACAAGAGTATCCGTATTTGGAGATAAGGATTTGGCTAGGATTGAGAACAGAAGATATAGATGACTTTCCAACAGAGCATTCGTATCTAGACATAAGGATTCAACTATCATTGAACAGAAGGTCTGGAGGATTTTCTGACAGAGCATCCGTATCTGGAGGTAAGGATTCAGCTAGGATTGAACAGAAGGTCTGGATGACTTTCTACCCGCTGGGGAAAACTAGGTGAACTTTCAGTCAGTTTGATACTGGCACCATCAGATGAGAAACTCTTCATTGGCTACTGAGGGAGAGGGACAGAGTGTATATACAGGAATATCCCGAGTGCAGGGATATCGAGTCTTGATTTATTCATTTATTTATTACTTTCATTTTAGTTCACCCCATCTCGAGGAATCCAAGAGTTCCTGGGAAAATCCAGTATTATAGGGGAGGTTAGGGTTAAAGTTAGTTTCTGCTCATTTTACCCCGTAACACCTCTGTAATGTTGGACTTTTCCCGGGGAGCTCTCGGATTCCCAGAGATGACGTGAACTAAAATGCAAGAACCTTTTATTCTGCCTAGCATATAATCACTAACATTTTCACGCACGGGCGCGAGCACACACATGCACAAACACGCACAGAGAGAGAGAAAGAGAGACAAAGAAATAAAATTAGCTCAGATTGGTGATAAGAGAGAGAACAGAACAAGCTTCTATAGCAGCTATTCTCAACCTCTGGGTCACGACCCCTTTGGGAGTGGAATGATTCTTTCACAGGGGTCCCTAAGACCAATCGAAAAACACACATTCACTGAAGTTACGAAAACAATTTTATGGTAAGGGGGTGACCACAACATGTTGCACTGTCTTATTGTGCCACAGCATTAGGAAGGTTGAGAACCACTGTTCTCAAGTGAATATTACCCCATATTTCAGGCTTGGCTCTTGGCAGTTCATGGCAGATATGCCATACACTTGTGTTTCTGTAGACAGTATGTGGCAGTTGCTATGGATACTTCACCAAGGCCACGGCCAGGTAGTCAACCTTGACCAGCTTCCACCTGTCAGTGCATGTAAGGAGTACATGGAAGGTGAGTAGGGAGCAGCTGATGTTTATTTTTTCTTCAAATTATGTGATGTTTTTAATTTGAGTTGAGTTTAGTCAAGAATTGACATCACAGCACTCTGGGCATTCCCATGTGTGCTCCATCCTCATCTTCAGCAGCCAGCGCAGAGTTCCAATACTGATGGTACTGGTCACAATCTGGTTACATGTCTGTCTTGCCTTTGCTCTGAGTGTAGTGAGCCGGCCAGACCCTCTGGTTACACTCAGGTGCCTCATTCTCTCTAGGCCATAAAATAATCTTCTATCTCTACTTATTCTTTGCTTGTTCCTTGACCACATCTGCCTTGTCATGTATCAGTTCACCACCCAGTGTTTTAAATTGGATTCTTTGTTAGCTAGCTTGTTAGTTCATCAAAAGATTATCCTTACTGCACATCCGACAAGTCCATGAGCACTCTGATCCTATCTTCAGTAAATCCCTCAGCATGTGAGGACTGATAACACCAGTTCTATGTTGGTTTACTATTCCTGTTTGGCTGCCTGTATAGTGTTCATGTTTGGCAACACCTCTTTTGACGTGAAGTTCTTGTAGTCTTTTGAGTTTTGCCGATTCAACATTGTCTCTTGAATCATCTTTTCGTCCTGCCTTATTTGCAGACTTGCAGCTTTTCTTTGCCACATGAGGAGACATCACTCTTTTTCTTTTCTCTGCCTGTTTTGTCATTGTAGTTATACTGATAGAATGCTTTCTCAGTGTGTGTCCAAAATAGTGCAACTAAATTTTCCTCTGTGATTTCATATTAGCTGTTTTTCCCTACTATTTAGCGCACTGGCTGCTAAAGAAGAGGATGTAGCACTTATAGGAATGCCCAGAGAGCTGTGAATCTACTCAACTCAACTTCTACTGTTTAATTTCTAAATCTGCCTAGGCAGAATCACTCAGCTCAACTCCTAATATTTAATTTCTTGTTCTGCGCCATTTTTATGCTGCAGTGTTTCTCATTTGGTAGCGGTCAGTGAAACAAATTCAAGGTGTCTACAATGTGGATTTCGTGGGCTGCATAACTATGTTGTAAGAAAGTACTGATTAGGGTTGTTTTCTTCAAATTCAATATAGCAAGTTAGATATTGTGAGGGCCCATTAGGAGCGAGTGAACAGTGCGGAGGCGCAGATAGATCATTATGGTCAAAGGAGAGTGGCGCTGCAAGGAGTTACCAGGGGATCTGGCCGACGCTCAACACTCAGGGTAAGGATGAGACGGCTATACAATCAGACAGTTACTGGTGCCATAGGAATTGGAACTCTTCGCTTGCTGCTGAAGATGGGGACTAAGCACTTATGAGAGTGTCCCAAGTGCTGTGATGTTGATTCTTCATACGGAAAGTTCTGGTTATTTGTCCACTTCTGGACTCTAGTCCTGTTCCATAAACTCAGTGATGAATGCACAGCCGTTTCACAGGTCTGACTCATTTTCACGCAGATTGTTATTGGTTCCTTGCCTCTCAGGCAGATATACTCCGACTTTGAAGGAAGCTCCCAATTAGTCGACTCTAACGACATGCTTTTGGGCAGGCAGTGGGTCTATTCTTGTTTTCCCCACAAGGGGACCCGGGAACCCACACGAGGAAGGAAGAATATTGTTAGTTTCATTTATTCTCTGTGTGTTCTGCTCCAGATAGCAACCGTGTCTTGTTTCTTAATCAACTCAAACAATAATTGTTTGTGTGACTTTACCAACAACATAGCACTTCAGATCGAGTTTGACTGTCTCATTCTTCTTTAGACCACTAAAGACATGGGGCAAAAGTTAAATGCTATCGAAAACAAATAAAGTGGAGTGTAGATCCCTTTTCACGCATCGGGCATATGGGAAGAGCACCCATATTTTTACAGACCAATCGGCACTAGGTGGGTAATGTAGTCAGCATGCCCCATGCCATGATAAAAATCCACGCTGCCAGCAGTGGGTTTCGATCGCGGTACATTGGAATTACAAGTCGGACTCGCAACGCCTAAGCCATGGACGCCGCATCGAAAACAGATGCCTAAGGATATTAATGCACATTCTTTTTCTGTGGCGTTGGTAGTCATGTCTATCTACAGCCTTCTGTGTCACGTTCTTTCAGTCAGTTCTGACACTGATGATCCTCCATGCCATGATGTCAAACTGACCGGCATCTGTTCTCTCAATCTCCCTCTGCCTCTCCTCCCCTCCAACTTTCTCTCCCCCCCCCCCCCCCCCCCCCACAATCAGAGCACGGAAATCAAGGTAAAAGTTAAAGTCGTCAGATGTGAACCAGCGTCATTGCACACGGTTACAAACCATAAATGCTCTGCCACCAGTAAGGACAGCTGATTAGAAACTGTCCGCTTGTGTCTAATATCCACTTGAAACTCCGTAGCTACGGCGACGTTCCTCCATTTACCTCAGAGTGTCAACTCTGGAACCCATTTCCTAAAGGCTGGGTGAACCCCGGGAACCGCCCGGTTTTGAACATCGGCCGTGGGCTGCAGCAAGTCGCAGCTGAATTTGAAAGTTAGTCTCCTATTGACTGCGCTAACGAGGCTCCCGGATAAGTGGTGTATAATGTCATGACAGGATTTTGATGATAATGATTTTTCTCTTGGCAGACGCCAACAGCTGGCAGCAACTAGCTGACAACCTCATGCACATGCCTGCCTCCGAAGCCATTTACCTGCTGACTACCTTTGCCAACATGGCAAGCAGCCGATCCTACGAAGAAGAAGGCTTCATCCGCACCATCACCCTGGAAGTCTTTGAGGTAATAATAAATATTTTCCTGATCAGTTTAGAAATGAATTTTTAAGGTTCTTCTTTTTCTTTGTCGTCTCCCTGACACCAGGTTGTAGCCCATTTTCATGGTTTTCTGTATTTGTCTTGAGCTTCTCAGATTGCTTGAGTGATGAATTTGTTCAACTTTTTGCAGGTTTTGGATACCCATTCATTGGTCTCTTTCTTGGTCTTCCTCTCACCTTCCTCCCAGATGTTCTACTGTAAAAAGTCTCATATGCAGTCTGGTCTGGCTGCATTCTTACTAAATGGCCAAACCATTTCATTCTTTACCTGTTAATATAATGTAGATGTGGTCTTATCTCAGCTTTCTCTCTAATGCTTTTATTCGTAACCCTGTCTCATATTTGTCAAGGTTAAAATAGTAAAATGTGACTTTTCTATTTTTTTGGATCAAGATGAAATGAAGCAGACAGTTTGGTAGCAGACTGCTTTGCAATCATGGTAAGAGGGCCGAACCATTCAAAGCTATCAGTTGAGTGGTGTTGAAACAGTTGCATAACTATTACTTAGTAAAATCACTAACAGCTAATATATCTGAGCCTTGTGTGTGTTGCCCTGTAAGGAATATACAACCAATAAGTGCTCTGTTCTTCTTCTAACTCAAGATTTTTAACTCTAAATTTGGCCCGGGCAGCGCTGTTAGGTTACCCTTTTCGATTTCCAACTGCCAAGGGATTTTTTATGTGCGCAACGGAGCACACGGGCGTCCGTTCTCACTACCCAGAGACCAGGGGGAATTAATAATAGTCCAGGTCCATAGGAAAAAATCCAAGCCCCCACCGGGGATTGAACCCGGAACCTCCAACACTCGGGGTGGACACCATGCCTTGGGACCACAAACCCCCCCCCACCCCGAAAAAAATGTGAAAATGTTGTAATGGTTGCACAAGGGCAAGGAAGTTAGGATGTCTGTCTCATGTGGTATGTGCTTTTTTTTTTTTTTTTTTTTTCATAAACTGTTTCATAGGTCCTTCCTTCCTTTTCTTCCTTCCTTCCTTCCTTCCTTAATTTTCACTGTCTGTACACTCCGGCAGAAAAGTCTGGCTGTTCATCCGCTTCTGGACTTTTGTCTGGCTACAGAACTTGAGCTTTTTATGCACATCCTGTTTTACATGATGATTTATTTGTATATAGACTGTTTGTTCCTTGACTCTCAAGGGATGTACTCTGATTTTAAAGGAAACAGAATTAATCATAAGTAATAAAAAACATTATCATAAATAACAATAAACATTATCAGTGATGTTTAAGTTTTAATCCCTGAATGAACCAACGGACATAATTTGAGCTAGTTAATTTCATACCAAGCCGTCAAAACGTTATTATATAATGCTCCAAAAACAGATTGCTTACATCTGTAGCCACACCAGGGAGTTCTGCTCAAAAGTAGGTCGTGAACTGTTATCCAGCATCATCCAGACACATCCAAATTCTCTGTCGTTTCTCCTGGCAAGGGTCAAAGAAGTCATGGCCAAGTTAGGAAAGGTTAGTGCTGTTTCTCTGTATTTTTGTGCAAATATGTAGCTTAATATTTAACTAGGGTGACCACAATATCGGGACCTGAAAACGGGATATACCACTAATATTTTGAGTTGAAAAATGGGACATCCCACTAATATTTTGAGCTCAAAAACGGGGCATCCCACTAATTTTTTGAGCTGAAAATGGGCCTACCAGGCAAGTCAGTTTGCCTCGTTCCCCAGATTTTATCATTAAAAGAATGTATTATTATTGTTATTATTAATCATTATAGATCTAACACATTTTAAGAACATGAGAATATAAAGCCCTTAAATATTGTATAAGCCATAATAAATGGTTAATATTAGAATTTTTTTTTTTTTTCTGACTGGATTGCATGCTTTGTGGATATCCTTGTGAACTAATGGCTTTTAAAATAGGAATACTGACGTCAAGTTTACCCCGTTGGCTACCAACACAGCCAAGCATTAAAAGTGTCTAAGACTGAAATCAAATGTCCACAGAAAATAAAGTGTATATATTCCTAGATTTTTAATAAACGGGTCAGAAAACGGGCCGTACGGTCACCATATATTTAACACTTGCTGCTGTCACTACTTGCAGTAAAGGGAATGTCCACTTCCAAGCCAATTCACAGACAGTTTTGTTTGTTAGTTGAAGAATAAAACCACAGTTAAACATGTTAAACCAGCTTGTATAAGCTTTGGTTATAATTGTGATTTTTATCTGGTTATCCTTCATGATAATGGCACTTCATGAATTTTTATTGGGCATATCTATTGAAATACTTTATTTGGCTATTTTATGAAAAATTGGTATGCTGTATGCCTCATAGGACCGGCTGGTTAACATCCTTTGGATATATTCTCCAGATGATGCCTGTGAGTTGGGAAATGAACAGGCAGATAGACTTGCTGGTTCTGTACTCAGTAGCATGTCCTTTGCAAAACCTTGCTCCCATAACAACCCTCCAGAAAACTTCTCGATCACAAGAAAGATGTCCCGCATCTGATACACCCATCTGGAGATCATCCGCCACGTCCTGCACCCATCTTCTCTTTAGCCTTCCTCTTCCTCTCTTCCCAGGCATTTACCCCTTCCTTATTGTTCTCTCCAAACTTTCGTGACGCATCAAGTGACAAAAATATTTCAATTTTCTGTGTTTTATCATCTTTATTAGCTAACCTTCTTCAGTATTCAGTTCTTGAAGTATGGATGCATTAGTTCTTTTCTTTACCCATGATTTTCTTTGAACCTGACTATAACACTTGTATTCGAAGGCATTTATGGTTCTGTACTACTTAGTGGTAAACTGGTGCCTTGCAAGCTAGATGTTGTAAATGCCCACTGGGAGTAATTAAATAGTGCAGAGGCATACAATGGAAGATCATCACAGTCTGAAAAGAATGGTGCAGCAAGGAGATACCACAGGATCTGGTCCACGCTGAACACTTAGGGGAGGGGCAAGACGGACAAACGATTAGACTGTTACTGATACTATCAGAATATGATCACTATGCTGACTGCTGAAGATTGGGATGAAGCTTTTATGGGAATGTCCAAAGGGCTGTGATGTTGGTTCTTAACTAGGCTCAACTCTACCCTATGGGTTTCAATGCCGTGACATCTAGTTATAATGTTTTTGGGTTTTCTCAATGCCCGTTGGCCTAATGGTTTGTCTTGAGTATGTCTAATGGTTTGCCTTGGGTGTGGCTTAATGGTTTGTCTTGGGTATAGCCTAATGGTTGGTCTTGGGTATGATCTAATAATTTGCCTCATATATTGCCTAATAGTTTGTCTCGGGGAATTGCTTAATGGTTCATTTTGGGTATGGCCTAATGGTTAGCTTTGTGTATTGCTTACTTGTTTGTTGTGGTTATGGCTAACTGATTTGCCTTAAAATTATGGCTGAATGGTTAACCTTAGGTATAGCTGAATGGTTTGTCTGACATTGTTCCATTTCAGATGGCCCTCTACCTGTTCTCTGATTTACCGCTCAGCATCTGGCAGCCGTCGGACCCTGACATGCTCATCCTCCGCCAGTGGCTGTTCAACCATGACCTGAGCTCAGTGGAGAACCAGCTGGCCAGAATTATTCTGGCAAAGATCAACTGGGATGTGTTTGAGCAGGTGAGTTTGCATTTTTCACATGCACATCCATTTTACAGATCTCTTTTGGTGTCCTACCACTTCACCTTGAGTCCCAGACAATTGTTTTACACATGAATAGACACTGTAGATGTAGAGTAGGTAATCTAGATGTGTAATCTGACATTTTGGAGCCAATG